CACTACACCCTTTTACTTCTATCTAAACCCGTATATTTTTGTATAACTGATAAGATCTTTAATCATCTGCTTAGCAAAACTACACCCTTTTAACTTCTACCTAAATTCGTATATTAATGTATAACTGATAAGATCTTTAATCATCTGCTTATGGGTATTATTCACCTTAAATAACAATCTCCTTCTCTTGCTCCCACTTTCCAGCATTGAATCTCCAGTGATTGGCGGCCCCAGTATCGTACTTGCCTTGCACCAAAGTACCTGATGGTCCATTCTTGGTAGATAAGTTGGCCTGTGCCGCCAAATTCACAAAAGAATCTTGCTTTGCTTCATCAGAATAATCCTCGAAGTCAAACCATCTTGTTTGCCAATCGAGTCCAGCCTCCTTTTCCGTCTTTCTTAACTCTCTCTGCTCATTTTCCAACAAGGTCTTTTCCTTGGTGATCAAGTCATAGTCGGACTTTTTGATTGCTGCAGCAACCTTTTCCCACGCCTTTCTACTTTCCAATTTATGCTGTTGTTCAATTGGCTTGACGGTCAATGGTTCTGGTTTCTTGCTGTTTGCATCGTAGAAGAGCTCGTCAGTCTTGGATGAAGGGGTGGATCCACCCTTACCAATGTACGATTTCCCGGACCATTGTCCTGATATGGTTGCCAAGGCATTATCCTTGTTGGCAGAGGACAATTGGTCACGGTAGATTCTCAGCTTGAACGTGTTCTTCTTACCTGAAAAGTATCCTCTTCCCGAAAAGTCAACTGTGGCCATGTATCCGTTAGAACTTTGGATGTATGAGGTACCTTCCAATTCCACAAAGGGCGAGGCGGTGATCAATCCTTCAATGTGCAATGGTGGCAAGGTAATCAAGTACGACTCGTTCAACGATTTAAACTCCAAGATAGCATGTCCGTACTGCTTAACACTAATGGATGCGGCAGATATTTGGGCTTTAATCCCGTTGTAACCTTGCAACAAAACATCGTTTTTCTTGTTCTGTATAGCGTAAGCGGTGACCGGAGGATGGTGAGATACCTGCTCTGACAACAAGATGGTTTCACCATACTTTTCGTCGTCCCATTTACCAACGAACACTTCACCCAAAAACGGGTTAAGTGGCTTCTTTTCTGACCCCATCAGCTCATTTCTCAGGCAGTATTGCGATCTCAAAGTGGAAATAAACCATTTGGTCACTGCAATGATTCTCTTGAGTGCCAAAGCTTGCTTCTCCGTGTTATCGGCATTCTCGGAAGGTTGGATTAACGAGGGCTCAATTAAAAGGTCGGGGTGTTCTGCCCAGTACTGAGAGTACTCGGAAAGCGATGTGGGGGAAAGAATAAATGGTGGGGCCGTCAACGAAGACAAATCGCCATTGAATGAGGCTATGGATTTAAGGAACGAAGTCCATGAGCTGGAACTTGCATACGATGACATTCCTTACGTTGTTAGACTGGATATTTATAGACTTTGGGATGAGATAAATACGGAAGAATTCCTCTTACTCTCTTCGTAGAACTTATCACCTAATGAAATACTATCGGAGACTAAAGTTTCAACTCACTTTACTCTATAATCGGGTATAAATTGGCGTCTTCGTTTACCTCTGTGCTGGTCAGGACTCTCAAGATTTTCGTTAGGAGTATCGTGAATCTTAACCTGCATGTAGTCTATACGAGGTCGTGCGTGGCCAATCTGCCGAGATATGGTTGCAATTTTGCACCCAAAAGGGCTGTGGGATAGACAGAGACGATTGGGGTGTTTGCTTTTGTGGGTGGTGGCAGAGCAAGGTAGGTTGGGGAAGCGTATGTGCTGCTCCGCCTACAACCAGTGTACAGTCAGTGGTCTTCTTGTATTCTTTTACTATTTTCGTATATTTTTGGTGTTGTGTATTATTTTCCCATACTTTCCTTGATTTAACTAAAATATGGTATGTTGGCTGGATGTAGAGTTAGAGCATACTTGTATTTGGCTTCCACTTCTATATAAGCTACTACTTTTCGTTGAAGAGAGAACTCTTTGCGTTATGCGAGTGCAGATATTTATATACGCTCGCTTACAGTTTCACAGATAAACACACCATATTCTAAACTATGTATTTGTTTGTTCTTTTGCTCTTCATCTTGCCTGGCTTTGGCCTTGAGCTTAATTTGGTTCCTCCGCCTCAAAACGTCCCAAAGCCTTCCGTGAGATTTACAAATTCAGACGACATCAACCTCAGCCTCTTCAAAAACCCTGGAAATGTCATCAAGTTGCTTGACCAGGCAAAAAAATCTTATGCCTACGACAATGAGTACGAAAGCTGGTACTCCTATGAGTTCTTAGGGGATGTGGATATTAGTTTGCTTAATACAACCTACCCTGCAACCGACTGTCTAGACAACACTGCAGGTGGGAGTGGTCTGGGTATCGATCTAAGCTATGAGGTTGGGTTACTCGTTACCAACTCAATTGAACCACTGGCATCCATCACAATGTACACCTTTACCTTAGCAGCGATGATCGGAATGGAGGTAGGTCCTTCAAAAACATTCTCTGGATCTTTTACTTGTGGAGTGGAGAAAGGTATGGTTGGTCAATTAACTTTGCAGCCATTCTTAGTAACGACACCTGCAATCAGACGTACAAAGGTATCCTTCTCTGGGGGTGGCTTGGTAGAAGAGACTGAAGACGATAATGTGGATGATGATTACACCATTGCCCCAATGAACCTTCTTGGTGAACGACTTCCTGCGCACCTTCACTGTGTTACAGGAGCCTCTCAATACGACCCAAATTTAAGGTGCTTCGAACAGAAGGAATTCGTAATCAACCCAAAGGATATCTATTGACAATGATGCAGTATGTCGACTTTTATTTATAGTTCAAGTCTAAATTTTTACATATATCCCGTTTAGATCTAATACAATCATAATTACTGTCAATACAAGCCCGTATGCACACAAAATTCCAAAAGCCACGCCGTCACTGCATTCTATAGTGTCAATGCTCATATTGATTAACCCGGTACCCAAGTTTCCGAGCAAGAAGCAAAGCAAACCATTGTTGTTCACTGCCTCTAATAACATAGATCCAGTACTTGTGCGCTGTTTCTTTTCACCTCTAAATACAGTCAGTTCCATCGCTTTATAGCCCAATAAGAAAAAGGAATTATAGGACACTACCCATAAGACATATGGCAAATTTGCGATTCTTCTTGAAATATTATTGAAATACGGTGAATCCTTGGTGTATAAGAAAAGTAGTTGATAAAAGATGGTCGTTATAAGTAAGCCTTCAGATGTTGTGACGGTTAACCAACGACTTATGAACGAATTCTTCTTCTTTCCCTTACCCTTCTCTAACTTCATCTTTTCATACTCCTTGTATGTTGAAGTCCACAACAAGTTTTTTGGGGTTTTGAAATCGGTCAACACAAAGGATCCAAATGATTGACCAAATATGAATATACTTAAGTAACCAAAAAATGAAAAGATCCCCTCTTTGTTTTGGGTGATTATTGATTCCATTCTATTGTCAGTCCTCAAAATGAACTTTAATACGTCAAATTGACTCAATGCTACTTCATAGATCAACCCAATAGACATAGCAACAAATGCTCTGGGGAAAATGTTCAAGAAAGGATCCAAAATCCCAATTACAATCGGCAAGAAGCCCAAGGTGAAGAAGAAATTCCAATGAATTCCATATTCCGTGACGTGTTCTTGGTACTCAAGTGACTTCACACTTACAAGTCTGATGAACCCAAGCAACAATATGGGCAACGCCTTAACTGTATTTTTCCATACAAGCGCGACATACTGAGAAATCAGAAATCTGTACCTTTTATTCTCTTGTGCAAAGATTTGTTTAATGATGGAGCGTGAATTTACAAGACCCATTGAGAACACAAATGAACCCACACCGAGATCCATTAATGATGTGCCCCATGTTTCAACTTTAGCAAACCTTCTTGGAAATATTTTGAAATCTACGGCAAGGATTGAGAGGTTTGTGATGATAATCATACTGGCCCTGTATGCGGTGAGAAAAGATTTTCTGACAAGCAATTTAGGAGGTTTGGGGCCATCTTCGTCTGCATCAACACCATCAACACTTTTGTCAATTTTACTTCTACTATTCTTATTATTTTTATTTTTCTTAGTATCGGATTTTTCACTTTTGGAATCATTGATTTTGTAAAGTACTGCCAAGGTCACTGGCAATAAAATCAATAAATGCAATATTTTCACATGGTTACTATATATAGTTATCGACATCAAAAGCGTCAACTTATTCAAAAAGTAGTCAAACGGCACCAGCAGAGGTATCTGGTATTTTTGCAACAATAAAACTGCCAAATACGCGCTAAGTGCAACACCAGTTACGTAGTATATTTCTGAGATTGAGCCTCCTAATAGGTCGGAAACAAAAAGCTCCTTTTTTTCTTTAAGAGTTGACATGTGGAATCAAAATCGAACCAATTTCAAAGAGAAGCTACCCACACTTGGTTCAATTGTTAACCTTTGACAAGACGTCAGCTTGAGCCAAAGACAAAGTACAAGCTTCAATAGGGTGCGTTGTAAGGTCATACCATGGTCGTGCACTTACCAAAACCACACTATCGCCCGCACACGACTTCTAGCGACATGGGAACCAAAAAAAAAGAGACGAAAGGAGCACAGTCAACTAAGAACAGGAGACCAACAAGGCACTGGAATAGGCAACGTTTGATCTTCGATTCAACTCTAGAGGAAACTAACGTTTCGTATTCACCAAACCAGTACACACAGGCTGAAAAAAAGATCGTGCATCAGCCATTTTCAACCGCTTATACCGAAGTATACGGGGTCTAAGAATTGACACAAAGAGAAGAAGAGATCACGACAGATTTTTTGAACTTTATTGATTTGCATTGCAAGAAATTCTTGTTAGATCGTCTAAATTATAACGTAGATAGGGTATAAAGAAGCAGTCGATCACAATAAAGATCCAAGATGTCGCTGCTTGAAGAGGAAAATCTGTTCAGATTCAACTCACCACTGTCCTCGTACGACACCCCATCGTCACCGGCGCTCTCAGCATCTGATTCCATGATGAACATAACGCCATGCACATCTCCAGGCCCAGACGATGAGTTTGGAATATATTCAGATTCCGATGTGGCGTCGCAGAATTCTTTAACCTTGGTGAGATCGATGAACTCTTCCAACTCAGAGATAGGTTCGTCGATCTTGAGACCGCCACAACCGATAGGCTCTTCACCGAAGTCCTCTGGAGTCTCTGCTTCTAATTCCTTCTCCCCACCTAATAAACTCACCTCCACACCGGGAAGAAGCAGAACCCTGAGACGAGACTCTTCAGAGTCCACGCCCAGCCCAATGCCTAAGAAGCGCATAAGGCGTAAGTCTACCAAGTCAGATATCAGTGAAAAATCTGGTCGTTCATCCGTACGACATTCACCCATTGGGAGTGGGGCTGGAAGTGTAGATGGATACCCACTGGGAACTGGTTACACACTGATGCCCGCTACTGGAAAAATATTTCGTAATTTATTAATACTTGAAGAAAGCTTGCGGGAACAAGTTATTCAACAGAGAGCACTTAGACGGAAGTATTTGACGTTTTTGGCAGTATTGTGTTTCATTATTGCATCTATTTCACACCACCTTTACTTTTTGGAGTATCCCAGATCAAATAATGGCACTATAAGAGTAGTACTTCAATTCACCTTGTTGGCATTACTGGTTACTTTGATGTTGTATTATTTGTCGGGAGAATATCAGAAGACCATTGTAGCACCAAAGAAATTCTTGTCATCAACGAATAAGGGCTTGAGACAGCTCAATGTTAGGCTAGTAAAGATCAAGACACCACTCACCGACAGTACCATCGATCTTATTAGAGAGTTCCTGTTATTTATGGCAACCATGTGCTTAACCAGTCTCCATAAGGTTTATCCCTCTATGCTCAACAACAAGAATTCCAAATTAGAGGTTTTCTTGATCTCTTGCCAGCTGCAATGCCAACCAAGGATCGGGGTTACCGATGTGAAACTTGTATTAAATGCAAGAGTTTTCAGTACTGATGTAAGAGAGGGCTGGGAATTGTATAGAAGTGATTTTTGGGTACAAGAAGGTGTTAGAAGAAGACAGGCCATGATGGAGTTCACTCAAAAGTTGCTGCCTCTGGGCCAGCTGCTGCAAGTGTCTACTCCCCTCGATAGAGAAAAGTTGTTAAAGAAAGATAGAAAGGAACGTAGAGACAAACGTAAAAAGTCTGTCACAAGCTATGTAACCCCTACAAGATTGAGTGAACTGAATTTAAGAAAGCTTAACAGCAACGAAAGTGAAAGTCTATCACCCAGATTCCTATCACCAGCTTCCTCACCTGCTTCTTCCCCACCTGGTTCACCTAGAATATCTGAGCAATTCTTAGATGGATCCGATGTACCTGAACAAATAATTCTGAAATGATGAAACTCAGAAAAGGATGTGGTTTCATAGTAGTCTGTGACTTACTAAGAAGCATCCTATTACAGCATATTCAAACCTTACGTGCTACAATTTAATTTAATTTTAATTTATATTATAATAATTATTTCATACAACATGAAATATGAGGTGTAGTTATCATAGTCTAGGATATATTCTGAGCGACAATCTTTCCAAATACGACACATTCTAGTAATGAACTTCCTCCTAATCTGTTCGAGCCGTGTAATCCACCACTAACCTCTCCAACTGCAAAAAGATTTGGGATACCTTCTCCATTCTTATTAATCACATTTCCTACTTTGTTAATCTCAATACCACCCATTGTAAAGTGAAGCACAGGGGTAACCAAGCCATAGTAAATGACACTGCCGTCGCCAAACTTAGTACCAAAAGATTTCCTGCTCCATGATTTGTCAAAGCCTGAGTCCACAAATTCATCATAGGTCTGAAATGTTTTACTCAACTTGCTGAGCGCCAGAGATTCAGGTAAGTCTGGATTCAATTTCGCAATGACATGAGCCAACTCCCCTAAGGATGACTTGTGCATTAAGCTCTGAGACAAATAGAAGTTTATATGGTTCTCTGCCTTCAAATAGTCTTTTTCATTGACTATGATAATTGCAACCTTTTGCTTTGGGTCAATGTTCAATGTATTGCGCAATATCTCACAATTGCTTTCTATAGCATCTGTAACCTTATCTCTAGTGGTGAGTTCATTGACAAATCTTTCCCCAGTTTGTGGAGAAATTAACACCCCCCCAATCCCTCTTATCAATTCTCCACACAAGAATTTCCACTTACTGTCTTCAGCACCAGCCTTAACAAATCCGGTTGGATGAACTTGTACTTTATCCATATGTATTAAGTTTGCATCTACATCTCTCTCAGCAATCTTCTGACCGTCTCCTGTAGTTTGCTCACCATTTGTCAGGGGGAAATCCAATAAATCTGGCCTATACTTCAGTAACAAGGATCTTTCTTCGTTGAAATCAGCCGAATAACCTCCAGTAGCTAAAATCACGTTGGATGCGAAAAGGCTGATTGCCTTGTTAGCTTCTTCAGTTGTGTACTGAATACCTGTGACCTCTCCATTTTCTGCAAGAATTTTATAGAGATTGGAGTTCTTCAAAATCTTCAACTTCGAGTTGGACTCTTGAGATATTTGATCCAACTTTTTAGACAATGCTGATATGATGGCAAACCCTGGAGGCAATTTACCTGAACCTCTATGGGTTCTTGCATGGGAATGACCTCCCAATTTGGTAACTAAGCCTAGATCGATGTTGTTTTCTTTTGTGAGCCAGTTAATTGCCGAAGCAGAGTTCTTTGCAAGGATATCTACCATTTCGGCATTGGAGAGACCATTGCCAGATTTGATCGTATCCTCAATAAACAGATCAACAGAGTCAGTGCCGTCCAATTGGAACTCAGTAGGCACCCCGTTGATCCCCGACGAAGCTTTGATAGAGTTACCTCCGATTCTAGATGTCTTTTCGATCAAATAAACAGAGACACCTCTCTGTAATAACTCAAGGGTAGTCGTTAGTCCTGCCAAACCAGTTCCCACGACAATTGCGGACATTTTGGAATTGTCGGTCTTGCTTTTATAGTAGTACCGAATGACCAAGACTATCAAGCAGATACCCAAGTAGTACTTAAACCTCAGTTTGAATATATACGTCTTGAATAACAACGTATAAGTGAAGGTGATAGCTTAACTGTTACCAATTTGCAGCCATGCAACCAACTTGGAGAGTGTGTTTATATACAGGTCGTAATAAGTCACTCTTTAAAGCTTAAGTATAATACTGATATACTTAGAAATTGCGCAGTGGCTATGAGTTGTTGTGTTTTCGTCAATTGAATGATGGACACAATCAGCACAACCAAGAAGAGAAACTCGAAGAAAAGACAAATAGAACTCAAACAATCTATCTTGGACTTGAGCGTGCCCTCCATCCTTTGACGTTGCGTGACAATTTGGAAACCTGTAGACTGTCCACCTGCTGCACGTATATTATGCATGTAATCATTCGTGCATGTATGCAGAACAGGTATCACACATTCCTGCATACAGACCGATCACTAATCATTGAAAATTTCAGAGTATATGAAGAGAAGGTGAATTACAAATACCAATTTTAAACTGGTACAACTCCACTACAATTCATCAAAATAGCCATGATACAGTCGAACCCTATAATAAGACCAAATACCAAGAACAGGCCGTTCAAATTTGAGCCGTTCTTGAGGAAGGAATACAATTTTGGCTTGGACCCAGATAGGCCAGTGTGTCCTATGTTCAATCCACTGAATCCTAATTCATGTCCCAATGGTACCAATTGTCCAAACAAACACGTACCTGCAATGTACTCCAATAAAATCGTATGTAAGCATTGGCTTAGAGGGCTCTGTAAGAAAAACGATCACTGCGAATTTTTGCACGAATATAACTTGAGAAAGATGCCCGAGTGTCTCTTCTACCTGAAGAATGGATTTTGCACTCAGACGCCCGAGTGTTTATATTTGCACGTAGACCCACAGCTGAAAATCCCAGAATGTGTAGATTATGAAAAGGGATTCTGCCCAGATGGACCCAAGTGTACAAAGCGTCATATTAGAAAGATCATGTGCCCGTTGTACTTGACCGGGTTCTGCCCCAAGGGTTATGAATGTGAATTCAGTCATCCGAGATTTGAAGGTATTACTGACAGGTTGAAGATAGAAGAAGATAAGAAGGAAGAAGTAGAAGATAAAGAAGATAAAGACGAGAGAATGGATGAAGAGGAAAGTAAGTAGGTACTCTGACTCCTCACCAAAAGCGATGGCCCAAGCCGCTGCCTTCCCTCCACACATACACATGGCATACATACACTAGCATCATTATATACGTATTATTTAAAATGGATATATAGTAAAAAGAATTAATATATAAAAAAAAAAACTAAATAATTTAATGTAGAACGAATTGTAGTATCGTAACTTTTAGATTTAGGAACTTTCTCCATTTTATTTATGCTGTTGTTTTTATGGCCCTTTCTATATTCTGAACTGTCTTGCCTTTTTCCTCTCCAACGGAGTCAATACCCAATTTATTCCAAGTGCGTCGTCCTCGCTTCCTTCATTATCTATAGTCTGGACGCTCAAGTCGTACTCTTCATCGTCCATACCAACCAACAAAACTAACTGCGTCACTCTGACAAACTTTTCTCTTAAGTCGTAGTTATCCTCACACACCTCGCTGATGAAGAAGGACAAGTCCTTTTCCAACTTCAACGCACCCAATTCATTCACCTTGAACTTCTCCAAGACATTCATCAACTTCTTTTCAATTAAATTAGCCAAGTTGATAACCAAGAGCCTTAACAACTTGCTAAAAAGTAACGACTTATGGAACGACTGTCTGTACGGTCTAATCAATGCCTGCCACGACGAGGAAATCTTAATCATTATCGTGGGGTCATTGAGAGAACTGGAAGAATAGATCAAATACGAATTCGAAACTTCTGGTAAGAAATCGTTCACTAATCTTGTCAAATTTTGTCTTATAGATTGATTATATAAAACAATAAGATTCTCTTGAATAAGCTTGTTTGTAGAAGAGATGAAGGGTTCTAAAAATTCGTTGGTGAAGATCTTTTCTATCTTGCTCAGATCATTGTTGAATGGGAAGTTTTGCATTAAGAATTCTGGGTTGCTCCTAACAATGTTATCAATGATCTTGGTGAAATACTCTTGCCCCATTGCTAGAGTGTTTAATAATAGGACGAAATTGATAAGCTTAGGGCTCTGTTCTTTAGCTCCAGCTGTTGTTGAGTTAACAACGGAACCAAGGGCTGTGGTAGCACCCTTGAAGAAGCTTCCGGCACCTATGGAATCTGGAACTGGTGTACTACTTCTTGTGTTACCAGGACTTTGATGCAGAGACGAAGAAGCAGATGGTGCTTGCACTAAATGTAACATGGAGTTGTATCTTGGTTGATTTTCTCTCAAACTTTTAACAATATACCCGATCAACAAGTCTTGGTGAATAATCTTGTAAGCCTCTGTTATAAAATGCTTAACCGCTGAAGGTTGAGAAGTGTCAACTATTGCTCGAAGCGCCGTGTTCAACACGAATATAGTATCGTCAATCACCGACGAGACAGGGGGTTGGTCAGGAGAAGTTGATGTCGAGCTGGCAATCAAGTAAGGCTCCAACGAAGGCAATTCTTCAATACTAATGGCCTTTTCTATAGATCTACGGAAGTAGTAAGTTGCAAGAATTTCAAATGACGGTAATAGTTTTGACTGTATCTTGGACGTGAAATTTGAAGATTCGATCAATTGTGGGAGCTTTAACTCGGTTGGAGCACCTTGTGGTGGCTGGATATATTTTGTTGTGATAAATTTACAATATAAACTCCAGAAGTGGAGGATTGACGCCAATTCTCCCATCAAGTCCCCGACGGAGACAACAGAGACAATTTCCAGTTCTTGATCATCGTATCCATTAAACTCGCTGTGCTGTTGCTGATGTTGTTGATCTTCGGCAACTCCCTCTCGCAACCTTCTATTAAGGAGTGGAAACTTGTACAATCCAACATCTTGGATAACTTTATCAATTCTTCTAACATCGTAAAAGGTATCACTTACTAGACCTATTTGAGAGTCGATTTCTCCCTGGATTTTATTGATGACGAATATTAAAGCGCCCTCGTACGTGGCACCGTAGTACTTCTTAATCAACGGCCCGTGGTGAGACAACATCATAGAAATGCTTTCAAACAACTGCAGCGCTATTGACGAGTACACTCCAGTAGTTGATTGCATCTGTTGTTTACCGCTTATTGATCCAATAAGCAGTCTCAGGGTATCACCAATGATCAGGCATATGAATTTAGAGTAGCATGCAAGCCCTACCTCTTCATTGTCAATCAACGGGAAAAGTTGGAAGTATTTCGTCATCTCTGGTACGTCTCTGTCGTTGGCAGCCTTGTTGAACTTTTCTTGGAACGTGCTGGCCAATTGAACCTTCCAGTTCGATAATGTCACCGTTGGAAGTTCTGGGACATCTGTGGAGGGAATCACTACGGAAGCATACTCTCCGTTAATCAATTCCTCGGGCACTTCTCTCTTTATGGTGTTGATACACTTCGCAGCGGTCTCCCAGTCACTATGATCCAAGGCATAGAACGCCTGGTTGATATTATTCTTCAACAATTGGATATTGGTTACGAAATTTAACGTGTCCTTGACCTTGTTTATCTCCAGGTCCAAGCTCTTTATTTTTATGGTCAAGGTATGCCCCAAATCATTGGCAGAGCTGAAGAGTTCTGACAACTGCGACGATACCTCAGTGGTCGAGGATAACTTGGCTCGACTGAGCTCAATTCCTGACAATTCATGCTGCAATTTTCTCAGTTCAATCACCGTCTTCTGACTCAACGTCTTGTCGATTTGAGCGGTGGTCGAGTCGATGGTCTTGATAAGCTTGTGCAAGTCCGTCGTGGTTTGTGCCGACCCAAAGGCCGCGGAGATTTTCAACAACTGCGAATCAAGGTCTACCTCAATGCTGGATCCTCCACCACCCGATCCATTTCTTCCTCCATTACGTAGATAAGAATATGACGATACTCTCTTGGACTCCATCTATATATACGTATAATCAAGAAATCCCTCAGCTGGTTCTAGAATGAATCCCTGACTGCCAGTTCTCTTCTAAATTTTCTACTTCGTGTTTAAGTTTCGCTGGTCGGACAGGCTGAAAAATATACGCGGGTCCTGCATATAGACAAAGATATGGATCTCGATGATGGGGAAGGCAGCAGTGATACGCTGGACTACTTCTTCGGCAGCCTTCAGAGAAGCTTCAGTGCCTCAGTGAAGCCTCAGTTTCTTTGTCAATTGCTTTTAACAGGCTCAATGTCATGGCTCTTTGTTGCCTTTCAATAATCAAAGATCTGCTCCTCTCTTCTATCTCTCTGTCATGGTCTTTCTGACGATATTCTCCCTTGCTTTGCACTACACTATTAAAATAACAGTAGTACACTATGCTACACTGAACACAACTTAAACTTACACTATTACCGTGAAATCTTCTCTGTGCATTTTGATATACTACATACAATTACAAGAATTCATTTCAAAGACACTGACCCATACAAACCTATCTCTCCAAATACAGAAATTGCAATAAATCAAGTTCAGCGCTTAATTATAAAACCCATTAGTTGGATTAAAAATCCCAAACAAGAAGAAATCCGTCTTCTATCATGAAATATATATCAGGCTGCCAATTATCATGGTTGTCAGTTGTACAGCGCCAGCCAATCGTTGCAAAGTTTTCCCTTCTTAGCTTGTCCCACTCACGATCTATACAGTAGCCAATTCGCTCTGTCATATTGAGAGCTGCAGTCGGATCATAGTCTTTACCATATGCCGAAGGTAATGTAGCGACTCGCCAAGCATTTCCATTTAGTGAGATGGTATATATCGATCCTTCGTAAATTGTACCTGCATTTCGACTTATTGCTATTCCCCATAGAAGTACATTTTTGATAGGCTGGACAGCATTGTACACCCACTTCCTAAGTCGCTCTACTACTGTTTCTCGATTTTTTACCAGGGTCTTATGAATAAAGGCTTTGGGATCAGAAGTAGTTCCTTCGCTTCCTCCGTACATTTTAATCCAGTATTCGTCGAGTTCTGCCACACCTTTGCCCAAAGCGTCACCTTCTTTAATCTCTCTCAGTAAAAGATATCTCGTCGCATCGAAATCTGCCCTCCCACTCTCCATTTCCTTCTTCATCAAATCTCTATACTCTTCATCTATATAGGTAATCACTATACTATCCCAATCTTTAATAGGCCCTCGTCCATTGAAATTTACGTACTGAAAATGAGAGAACCAATATTTTGGTTTGTATTCGTATTCCAATACGATGCGAAGATCTCTATACCTCTCAATGTAAGCAGCAACGAAAGTCAAAACGCCTAGCGATAGGACCAAGCTAGAAAATTGCAATTGCATGTTTACCAGGACTTATTGAGTTATACAGATTAGAATAAAGTTCTTTCTTTCTGCTTTGTCTACACTGCTAACTCCACTCTTTCCCCATTCTCACTCGCCTCACGGTAGAATCATGGAATTTCCGTATAAATGCACGGAACAAAATTATGACGTAAGAGTGAACCCCAGAAAAGTATTCATTACTACTTTTATGTTCCCATTCATATGTTTTTGAAATTATCTAAGTACTTGTGTCTTCGACGAGGTTCTTTATGTTCTTTACTTATTTGCCCTTTGATACACGGGAAATGCTTGATAAACTCCTAACTCTATTTTTTTTTATATGGGTTGATACTGTGCTACTCTAACAATTGTTGCGCTTTCGGAGTAGCCTAGGTTATGCAAATTCAAGATATACTCTTGCTAATCTTCGAATTTCACTGATTTCCAATTACTGTCAGAAACACTAGATTACACAGTGCTACACTCTACACAATTTTACACTGTTACTGTATAATCGACAATTATCTCTATGCATTTGTATGGGCTATATACAATAAGAAAAATTTGATCACATTCAACGTTTTTGAGCTTATATCAACCCGTGGAACCAAATACGGAAATTGCAGTAAATCAAGTTAGGCATTAATCATAAAAAATCCTGCTTGCAATATAATTCCACACAAGAAGTGTTTCTTCTTCTAACAGAAAATATATTGCAGGTTGCCAATTATCATTGTGATCAGTTGCACACTTCCAACCAATTGTTTGAGAGTTTTCCCTTCTTAACTTCTCCCACTCACTATCTATACAGAAACCAATACTCTCATTCAAGTTAAGTGCTGTAATTGTATCATAGTCTTTGCCATATGCCGTAGGTAATGTAGCGACTCGCCAGGCACTTCCATTTAGCGAGATGGTATATGTTGCTCCTTTGTAAATTATACCTGCATTTCGACTTATTGCCATTCCCCATAGAATTACATTTCTTATAGGCTGGACAGCTTCATGCAACCCTTTTAAAAGTTGATTTAGTGCCATCTCTCTAAATTTTACTAGGATCCTAACCCTACCAAGTGTATCAGAAGGATCGTCTAGCCTACTTTCTATCATTTTCTTCCGATATTCTTCAACTTCCCCCACACCTTTGCCTAAAGTATCACCCACTTTCAACTCTCTCAGTAAGAGATACTTCATCATATTGAAAGGTGCCGTTTCACTCTCCATCTCTTTCTTCATAAAATCCCTATACTCTTCGTCTATATAGGTAATCACTATACTATCCCAGTCATCAATTATCCCTCTTCCAAAAAAGTCAAGATACTTCACATGGGAAAACCGATACTTTGGTCTGTATTCATATTCTAACACGGTGCGAAGAACTTTGTATCTCTCAGTATAAGCAGCAACGAATGATAAAGCAGCCAAAGACAAGATCAACCTCGACAATTGCAAGTGCATATTCAATAGTGCTGACCCAGATATACAGATTAGAATAAAGTTCTTTCCTTCTACTTAGTCCACCACTCTAACTCTCACTATTTCCCATTCTCGCACGCCTCACGCTAAAGTCATGGAATTTCCGTATACATGCATGGAACAATTTGAGATGACGTACAAGGGTTACTAGACAAAAGTTCACTACTACACTAAAGATTGCATTTACACAGTTTTATAGTGTATGTGAAGTGTTTTTGTATGGTACAGCGGTTTATTTTGTTACCTCTGTTTATTAGCATTTTGGCACGAGAAATCCCTGGTAAGCTCCAAGCTCTGTTCTCCCATACATAGCTTGCATATTAGTTCGGAAAGTCACTGAATCTAAAGCTAGGCGAAGAAGAAGAGGAAAGAGATCAGCTGGACTTAAGACGAGATGAGAAGTACGGGGGAGAGACAGGAGACTACTTCTACACTCGAAAACTGGTTTTCTTTTGTTTTTCGTTTTTCTATTATGAATATTATGCCTACTATACAAATATGTTTAGCTTCTTCCACCTCTGGATCCACCTCTGCCACCTCTGCCACCTCTAGATGCGCCTCTGAAGCTTCCCCTACCGCCTCTAGATCCTCCTCTGGAGTCACCTCTACCGCCTCTGAAACCACCTCTGGAGTCACCTCTAGACTCACCTCTGGAGTCACCTCTGTACTCTCTTGAGTCACCTCTCTGTTCTCTAGACCCAGACTTGGAAGACTCTCTCTCTTTATTGATAGCTTCAGTGACAGCCTCTTCTCTAGCCTTCTTGAATTGAGTAGATCTTTCTCTTAATCTTGGCTTCTTTACTCGGGCTCCCTTTAATCCCTTGATACCTGCAATCAGACTTCCCTTGGTAGCTCTTTGACCTTCCATGATCACCTTGGACTTACCAGCGGTGGCTCTGTCCGCCTTACCTAAAATAGTGGTAGCACGTCCAAGCTTAGTCTTTTGTTGGTCATTTAACTTCAGAGACTGTTGTCTTTCCTTGGACTTGTTCGATGCATATGCCTTTTTGGTGTTGTCTATGTGGTTTGGTGAAAGAAGTGATGGTTTAACGTTAGCCTTGGCTCTGGAAATACGCAACTTTCTCTTGCTCTCTTTGGAAATTGGCTTATCGTTAAGTAATAATGCTTTGTTCACTGATAAAGTATCTTTGAATTGAATTAATGCAAACCCCTTACCCAAATTTGTCTTGGTATCACGGATAATTCTCACAGATTCAACGTCATCATCTGTTTTAGATTGGAAGTACCTCCATAAGGTTTCTTCCTTTTCTTCGAAGTCCAAGTTACCGACAAAGACTGTTCTCTTGTTATCCTTTGGAGAAGGATGTGCTACGTGATCGGTACGCAAGTGGTTGTGTTCAAACACCTTGGCGTTGATCTTCTTAGCTGCTTCTAATGAAGCTTCTTTGGTTTCAAAGACAACGTAGGCATTCATGGTGTCTCTTGAGTTGTGCAAGGATTTCTTAGCAAAGGCAACCTTTCTTGGAACGGCGTCTTCAAATGATATAGATCTGAATCTGATGGAGCTGATCTTACCAAACTTAGAGAAGAACTTCTTGAACTTCTTGTAAATTTGCTTATTTGTTATCACAGTGGATACAACGTTTCCTACAAAGATAGTCCTTTCAGCCTTTTCAAGCTCGGATTCCTTAAGGTCAACCTGGGTAGCCTTAGAAGTTTTGGTATTAGGTTTGGTTTCAGCATCGGAATCTGAGTCTGAGTCTGAGTCTGAGTCTGAGTCGGAGTCAGAGCCGGAGTTCGACTTGGATTCAGAACCTTCTTCGGTGGTTTCATTCACTTGCTCTTCCTTTTGTTCAGATTTGTCAACTTTCTTTTCGTCTTCCTGCAACAACTTGTTGAAGTACTTAGCTTCAAGGTCATCGTTGACATCCTTTGACTTCCTTGCCTTTTTATTTGCTTTTTCAATCACAGCAGCATCTTCCTCCTCCTCTTCTTCAATTTCGCTTTCATCATTTTCTTCGCTTTCTTCAATTTCTTCGCTGCTTGCCTTCTTCTTACCTTGGCGCTTTCTTCTCACTGGTTCGATCACAGATCTCTCTCTGACCAATTTACTATTATCAACCGGACCAGTGGAGTTTTTGAATAAATTCTCAATAGACTTGTCTACATTTTCGGCAGATGAACTGCCACCAAAAAGGGCACTAAATGAAGACATTGCGTTACTGTCTCTGTTGTTCCTTTCTATCGACTCCTACTTCAGCTAAAGACGAAGTTCACTAAGTAAAATTTGTGATGCGCAGCTCATCGTACCAAAAAAAAAAAAAAAAAAAAAAAATAAAATTTCACTGCAGGAAAAGCGCACCAACGCTGGCCTGCATACTGCGTGGAAATGGGGGACAATTATTCTGTGCAGTCCAAGTTTACCTTTTCCACTTCGAAGGATGAGATTGTTCAGATAAAGTGACGGAAATCCCTAAACGTTTTTCCCCTTCATTTGGCTAGCAGAGTTTTAGTTAGCATTATTTAGGTCAGACGATACTTGGACACTGCATATAGAAGCTGGTCCGACTTTGTGTACAAATTGTTTAAGCAGGAACCAGAAAAATTACACCTTACCTTATAGCACCGACCGACACAGACTAGTGCCCTCCAGCGTTTCAGCAAGCGACCAACCACAAGTTCAAAAACTAAAGCACCAGCAGGGTAGTTCTGATAACTAAACTACCGCCATAAAGAAAAAAGAAAAAAGAGCGTTCGCTTCGTCTTTAGCCACTCATCCGATGTCCATAGAAGAAACGACTTCAACTGGAGCGACACCCCCACCCTCATACACCAACAAGGAATCACCGTTGACAGATATCGCAACATCACCACCTCCCTTCTCGCTACCCCTAGACGAGGATATCGAAGAGCAATTGGAAGAATCTGTGAAGAACGGTGGAGCTACCAGTAGCAACAACAACAATAGCAACGACGATAGCTCTGAATTGAGTGATCTAGGCGACGAAGATTCCGAAGCTGAAACCGATAAGATGGACTTTCTAGAAGATGAGGGAAACTCGAGTTTGGATCACACGTCACTGGACTTACATGCCTTGTCCAAGCTCACGGAATTGGCACAATTGAAGGAGATAGACGATGACTTAGACGACGAGGGCAAACCCGAGAACTTCAATATTGGAAAAGGAGAGAGCGACGAAGAAGCTGATCGTGAAAGGGAGGACGATGACGATGACGATGAGGAGGTGAAAAAAGAGAATGGAAATGGAAGCGCCAATGGAAGGAAGAGGACGATAGACGAGTCCGAAGTTGGACAGTGGAAGAAGCAAAAGCCAGAGGACATTGATCTGGAATCAATAGACGTGGACGTGAAGGAGGAAGATCCAAGTTCCAAGGAGGAGGAACATGAAACAGACAAGCCCGCCATTGAGAATAACGAAATACACGCTGCGGGTGAGGATGAAGACCAAGATATAGCAGATGCTGGCGCCAAGAAGGACGGCAAAAAGGAGGAACAGGACGTGGAAAGTTCCGAGCAAACAGATTTGAAAGTGGAAACTTCCGACAAGGAGTCGGATGCGGACGAAGAAGGAGAAGGAGCCAAGGAGAGTTCCATGGCAGCTCTTGTGACTGCAGACGAAGATTTAGAAGCTGCAGATGCTGAGGTAGAAGCAGAGGCAGCCGCAGAAGAGGAAGCTGAACTAGAGGCTGAGGCTGAAGCAGAGGTCGAGGACGAGGATGAAGACGATGTGGATGACACTGAAGACACAGAGAACGCTGGTAAGCGAAATAGGAAGCTAGAGAAGGAAGACGGTGCCAATTCACCAGGGGCCGAGAGCGACGAAGAAGATAACGACGAGGTGGACATGAACGAGCAGAGGAAGCTAGCAATCAAGGAATTGGTATCTGTGGAGACAGACTTTGCCAATCTTAGAGACAAGCTATACCATGACAAGTTGCAATTGCTTGAGCATGAACTCAAGCTTTGCCTCGAAGGATCGCACCCTGAGCTCTCCAAGATTTACTACAAGGTCAATGGATTCTACCAGGATAGCTTGAAGTATGCCAACTCAAACTTGAACTATAAGTTAAGGTGTATTGACAGGCAGACGATAGCTACCAGGACCGCTATACACCAGGACTTCCTCAAGAGTATCATGGACTACAAGAATGAAATGATTTCCAACACCACTTCATTATGGTACAAGATAAATAAGGAGCGCAACCAAATGGACCAGCTAGTACCAGAGTACAACTTCTCTGCTATACCACAGGTGTCCGCCCCCGTCACCGCAAACGGCACGATAGGGAACGATGAGGACTCAGAGATAGCGCCAGTGATACCATTGCCGAAGAAGGTGATAAGGCAAAGGACGTTGGTAGATCTTGTTCAACGAAGAAATGATTTTAACCATGAGGTTGGCATTCAAGGTGGGTTATTGGAGTTCCATGGGTTTCCTTCAGCTATTACGTCGAAGTTGGCTGATTTGGGCCTGGACGATGGTCCTGCAGTGGACGACATCGAGGAGTTGATATTGAGGAAAGCAACTGAAGAAGAAATACAGGACGACTTGAGGGGAATGGGTATTCTCACCTGAGAAGTCCTATCGCTTCCCTCATAGCCTCTCTCTTTTGAAGCTTAGATCAGTTCATTCCATGTCAGCTAGCCTTACATAACAAAATTATATAGCAAGTGGTACACTTTGCACCCAATAAAATAGCACCAAAATACATACAACTGTAGCAACTACCTTCCCTCCTATTCCCATACCCTTTAAAGCACTACACTTTCTCCATTCAGCTCTTTACCCACCACCTCTCTCCCCCTAGCTCTCCCCCAGCTCACCCCCAGCTCACCCAACCTAAACCCTCTCTGATAATCCTGCATATAATCCACACATGGACACGTACTTTTTCGAGCCACCAACAACAACCAACCAACCACAACACCAGCTCTTTTGCTCTTCAATTACCAATATTAGTATTACAAACTGTATCAAAAATGGTTGAAGTGTCATTAACAGTGGGTAAGCTTGATGCCTCGCTTGCGTTGCTTCTCACCAAGGACCACCATCTTATAGAATTCCCCACCATATTATTGCCTAACGGCGTCAAGGCTGGATCGATCATTAGCATCAAGTGTGACCAGGACTTCGAAACCGAAGAGAAAGAAGCCAAGCAATTCCAGCAGATACAAGATGAGATTTTGAACACATTTGGGCAGAATTTACCGCAAGCTCCGGTGCTTAAAATCAAGAATGTTACCCAGACGCTGTGTGTCTTGGAGTGGGAACCGTTGGAGTTGGGTACAGCCAACTTGAAGAACTTGATTTTGTTCAAGGATGGGAAGAAATTGGGTGCAATCCCACAGCCTCTCACGAGCAGAACCACCAAATTGTCAGGTTTACCAATTGACAAGACATTCAAGTTCCAGTTGAGGTTTGATACCACTGCTGGTGTGTACACATCGGATGAAATTGAAGTTACCACTCATAAGATGACAGACTTATCCGGGATTACCGTTTGTCTTGGAGATATCCAGCCCAACGACCAATTCACCGTAGACGATATCCAGGAATCGTTAAAGAACATGGGTGCACACTATCCTACGCAGGATAAGATCAAGGTGGACTCAACGCACTTTATCTGTACGAGGGAGAACAAACAGAACCCCGAGTTCTTGAAGGCCAGCGAAATGAATATTCCTATTGTGAGACCTGAATGGTTGAAGGCGTGTGAAAAGGAGAGAAGAATCGTAGGAGTTAGAGACTTTTATGTGAAAGACTGTGTTTTGCCAGACTTGTTCGCTAAGAACTACTGGGGCGCAAAGAAGAGGTCAATCCCTACTATAGTCGAGCCTCAGCCGGAGCATGCGAGCGGAGCAGCTGAAGTGAAGGAAGAAGCTAAGGCTGAACCAGTTGCAGAAGCGGTTTCTGAGCCAGTTTCTGAACCAGTTGCTCAGCCAGTTGCCGAGTCAATCTCTGTAGCAATTGAACCTGCAGCAGAACCTGCAGTTGAAGAGAAAGAAGGAGAAAAAGAGATACAAGAAGAAAAAGTACCAGTGACTGAATCCCTGAAAGAAGACGACTTCAAAGAAGTAGATCTTGCAGATACTCCAACTGAAGATACCAGCGAACCAGCAGCAAAACAAGAAGAATTGTTAGAAGAGATTGTATCGAAGGAAGTTACCACAGAAGAGGAAATCAAGGATGGAGTAATTGCCAATCTAGAGGAGGAATCCAAAAAGGAAGTGGAGGAGGAGAAGACTGCGGTTGATGTGCCGGTAAATGGCTCGGAAGTACCTGTGCCTCAGTTTGAACAAGCATTACCTGAGTTGCCAAAGTCTGAGCAAGAGTTGCCGGAATTGCCCACAACTGAGAAGGAGGAACCAGTAGCTACCGAACAAGAGTTACCCGTTGTGCCTGAAGTTGTCAAGGAGGAAGTAGCACCAGAGTCAGAAAAGGTGGACGAAGAAGGAAAGGAAGACGAAGACGAAGAGCAAGATGAGGGAGAAGAGGCAGAGGGAACAGAAGGAGCCAAGGCTGATCCTTCCACCAGTTCGAAGAAGAACAAAAAGAAGAAGAAGAAGGGCAAGAAGTAAAGAAAATTATGAATGCAACAAGTAGTAACGCCCACCGTTCTAAAAAGTCCACCATCGGTAAGCTTCTACACTTCATAGCTCCTGGATTATATGTATTTTATCTATTTAATTATATTAGAAAGATGAAGAATTGAAACTCTTTTATATTATTTTTATGTTCACCAACTGTAGCAACAAGAGCTTACTCACCGAAAAGTCTTCTAACCTTCTTCAAAATCGAATCCTTTTCTGGGTCATATGGGTGGTCTTTAGAAGGAATTTCCAAGATCGCTGGGAACGCGGCAGTGTAATTGTCAACCTTATATCTGATCAAGTCAGCCAAGTGCTGGTTGATCAATAAGATGGCAATATCGTCTCTTTTTGAAGTAAACCTGTCAAATGCTTCTTCAATATCGTCTGTGGATGTCTTACCAGGAATAACCGTCAAGAAATTGGTCTCCTTTCCTGCTTCGTTTGAGACTTGTCCAACACCGGCCAACAATAAACCAGTGACAGAATCTTCGTCGGCAATTGCTGCCAACAAAGACCTTTTAGCCATAGCTTCTGCGCTCATTTTTTACTGTCAGATACGAAATGAGGGGGAGGAGGATGGTAATACAAAGAAAAATCTTCCAGATTCTGTTCCAGTGGACCGTACTAGAAGGAACTGTCCGTTATATTACCAGAGATTGTGAGTGGGAGGGTATGGCGATAGGTGAAGTGGGAGGTGCAGGAGCGCATTGTACAGGAGTAAAACAATGTACAGGAACACACATGTGCATAGAGTGAAAAATTCCACACAGATGCAAAACGACCGGAAACAGGAGCCTGAAGTAGGCTACTAGTACTCCCACAGACTTGTTTCGAGATGATTTCTGTTCTTAAGAGGTCGCGCATAACCGTGTCCTTGCGTGAGTGTCGTTTTGGCTTGCACACATCTGCCGTTCTGCTTGCAGGTCACTCCAAGTGGGCCAACATCAGGCACGACAAGGCCAAGAACGATGCAAGAAGGTCCAAAGAGGCGTACCAAATGGCGTCCAGAATCTCGCTGAGTGTCCGCCAGTCTGGTGTAGACGGGAACGCACAACTCGCTACGTTGGTAGAAAAGGCGAAGAAGATGAGCGTCACCAAAAAGATCATTGAAAACGCTATCAAGAGAGGGAAAGGTGAGTCTACGGGCGACACAGTCCAGACATTCGATGTGTCGTACGAGTTTATGGGTCCTGGAGCAGTTGCTATCATAGTTGAGGCCACCACCGACAACAAGACGCGAACAGTGAACCTTGTCAAGCACGCTTTATCCAAATTCAATGCCTCTGCGAGCGGGTGCCTGTATCTCTTCCAGAGGAAGGGCTGGATCATCTTTGAGCCCAAAGACCCAAAGAACGAGACATTGGACGACATCTTGGAAGTGGCCATTGATATTGGAGCAGAGGATGTGGAGAGTTTCAACGATACAGAGAACGAGTACCCTGGGGAGACTCTCTACAAGGTGATAACCGAACCTTCAGAAGTAGCGTCGATCTCGAACAAGCTCTCCGAGCAAGGCTACAAGTTGAAGGATGTAGCCACTGGGTTTGTAGCTGACCCTGATTCTGCAGTAGACTTTCCAGAGGATCATGCCAAAGCGTTCGAGAAGGCGATGAACTTGTTGGATGAGGTGCAGGAGGTGACGAACTACTACACCAACATCAGAGAGTAGGTGCAGTGTAGACACACACACACACACACACACACACTCACACGAAGAGACGACGAAGAGTCGGTTGAGACCCACATGCCATGTACATACATACACTGACGTAGCCCTCTGCATTCGTGAAACATCCCTCAAACGTCTCACAGTCCTACAGTACGGCACAACACCACACCACCGCCGCTCCACGGTTCCCTACTTGTATATAAATTTATTAGACGTTTATTTTTATCTTCTTTGTTGTACATATATATGGAATATGCCAAAGCACCCTGCAACGAGAAGGAACCCTTGCAAAAGGAGCCTCTCACTGTGAACTGAATATCTCATTCTCTAACTCTTGGGTGGTGTATCTTGTTATTTTTTTTTTTTTTTTAATTGGCCCTATAGATTACTATATTGCTATCCTTCTTGCTATGAATTCTTTCATATTTTACATGCTAACAGTGGATTTATTCCTCATCCTTGTGTTCGTTCAACACCTTGTCCAAGTTGGACAAATCTGCGTTCTTCCACAATCTTAATTCCTTGTTGTAAGCAAAGTGTCTGTAGGTGAAAAACGAAGCTGAAACAACTGCCACACCAATTGCAGCAAACAATGGGTACATTTCAAGTGGAACAGGAATCTTTCTCTTGGTGGCGTTTAACAAAGCTGGGGATGGTCTCATTTTCGAATAGGTAAACTGGATACTAAGTCTAAAAGGGGAAAGTATGGATGTATCTTTGAAACATAAATTTACCATTGGTACTTGATTAAATCGTATCATCACTTCAAGATGGTTCCGCGCACGACCTCAGTGTGTATGGTGTGAAATAAAATGTTTTGGTTGGTTAATGAGCGGGTGTGTGTGCAGGAGCCATGCTTATGTAATCTGGACGAAGGTTGCAACAGGCGATCAGTATACCACTAGTGGTGCACTAGCGCTAGTGGTGGATGAGAGGACGTGTAGTCATGGGTAGTTAGTCATGGGTAGTTAGTTATCGGTATGGAGATATTCTATCCATAGGCATTTACGCACGTACATTTATTGCTCACTCTGATGCTGGCACTGATGCTGGCACTGATCGCTCCTTTCTATCTATTACTCTATCTATCGTCTTTTTCTAATGTGAACTCACCACTTGTTGATCGCCTCTTTCAAAGTATCGTAGCAGAACCAACTCACAGCCATCGAAGGCACTATTTTGTATAAGTTTGCCGTCAACCCCTTGTATGCCCCAAAAAAGCCCTCGGTGGTGAATATAGTCACCAATGCATGAGTGACCGACTTATACTGGAACCCTAACTCACCTCCCGCCATGCTGGCGACTTGGTATCTCTTCCTCAACACATCCAATGGGTATATCAATACTCCACCTACAAACGAAGAGAGTGCTCCGGCTGAGAGTTTCCACAATGGGTTGGAGAAATCATGAACTTCCTTGTGCTGGTCCATGTAATCTCTCATCTTCTCATACAATGAGAAGTTTATGGCAACATAGGGCGCAACTCCCAATGTGGTTGCATAAAGTCCTCTATAGAGCCCTCTGATCCCACCTTCGTGCAAGTAAACATGTTTTAAAGTACGCCATACCCCTGGAGCATCCGCAAGCTTCCCCTTGTTCAATTTCTTCAACGAGGCAGTTTGAATGGTGATTCTGGCTCGAACTAGATCAAGCGGGTAAGTCAACGCTACAGAGACAATTCCTCCTACAGAACCAGCTATTAACCTTTCAGATCCATACGTTTCCGTTCTCCCGGGATCTCGACGTCTCAATAGTTCCTTACACTTCTCAAATACTGAATACTGTATCGCACTGTAGGGGAATATTCTCACACAGTTCAAGAGGTTTCCTCTGAACAAGCCTCTCCAACCTTCATCGGCGTACATTTTGAAGATAGTACTGAACATCCCATTGTATGCATGCTGGCTTCCCGGGCCCTGTAGCTGTAGCAAAATTTTGGCCCTTTCAAACGGAGACACTACCGTCCTGGAGACTGCTCCTGCTACACCACCAGATATGAACGATGAATTGGATTCTTGTTTGATAATGGCCTTGGTGGATCTATATACAGGTGACTCAACTATAGAATTCATGATAACAAGCTAAAAAAAAAAAATGAAACGAAAATGGAAATGCAAACAAGAAATAAATATAAAAAATGGCGATATCGCTAAACAACAAGCCGATTCAATTCAACAAAGGACCCACAAGGACCAATTTGAAAGCTACTAAAATGTGCTGAAGTAGTCCTATCAACCCTGTGATTGTAATATGAGGGCCCACCAAAAAAAATATTGGTAGCGGCAGACAATTAAACCTGCTTTACTCGAACCTCTGACTTAACGGTCCCCTCAAAATATACTAAATTGCTTTATCAATCTGGTTCATTCAGGTGGATCTAATGAACTTTACTCGTTAAAAAATTTTCTGTTTATACTGATCCACGTCAAGTATATGCAGGACGTAATCGTGCATGAGCGGAACTTTGGGCTGCATGAGGTTGCAACATGTTCCAAGCTAGAGCGATGTCGGAGCGATAAGATAGGAGAGTTGTAGTGTCATAATAAGAAGGAATTAGGTGTGTGTCAAAAGTGCCACGCTCCGAGTTAAAATACATATATGCATATATACATTCAGTTTCTAGAAATTTCGTAACATTCATTGGTTCACTTTACCTTTTTACTTTCTATCTTCTTCTCTTTCCCTTAGGGCATTTCTCACCTAAACTCTCTCTTCATCAAGTGAGATCATGCTCTTCACTTTACCGCCGTTATCTTCGAAGTAACTCTTTGTTTCTGATAAGAGCAACCGTGAAATTATAGAGGCATACTTTTGAAGGCTTTCCTCTCTGTGCTCAACCAACCTTTCAGTATAATAGTTTATAATGGCCCAATTGTGAACCTGCGCTACTTGCTTATCGACTTTCAACTTGCACCCGTCAATATTCTTCAACTTGCTAATGTAATCTTCCGTATAACCCGAAACACACTCTTCTGAGCCGTAGCTTATAACAATTCCAAACTTTGGGATGCTTTCTAAGGACCATTTCTCCTTGCCAGGTGCACAGCAATTGAGCTCAATCACTTTTTCCTCCAACCAACCCTCGATGTTTTCTATGCTCAAGTAATCTGTATTGATTTTCAGCTCAATTTGATCGAACTGGTCAAGTTGAGTGATTGGAGATACTAGTAGAGCCACTGCTGGTAGCAGTTCCTTATCTTCCATTAGCAATGAATTCATGATCAATGTAGCTCCAATTGAGTCACCTGCGAGGACAACATGGCAATCTTCACCAACGGTATCCCGTACTTTAGATACGGCGCTCGGGAGAAGAAGATCCAACTCACTTGAAGTAGAGATCAGCGGAGCAAAAACAATGGGGTTTTGGAACCCTTCTTCTTGTAATTTCACGCAAAATGATGTTAGATATTCCTCGTATATGGCAATGGAACCTCCCACTATCCAGCTACCATGCACATACACAATTGCTAAGTCTACGGCCCGATTGTTCTTGCTTTGGCTCTGAAACCAACACCCACCGTCCGAATACTCTTGCATCATTACATCCCCTAATCCATTTCCTGCTTCTCTAAGGTATCTCCATCTATTTACGTAGTAGAATACCTTTGTCTTAAAGAATTCCTTTCCCCATCTTTTACTTAAGTGATTAAGGTTCAATCGAAGTAGATTTATTAGGATGAATTCAGCCCCAGTTGCTCTTTGGGAAACTCTTGTTTGAAGGGGGAAGGGAAGGAAGTACCTGTTACAAAGGTATAAATATGGCACCTGAATGAATACGCTGATGTTCAGAAATATGAACCAAGTAGCATCAAAGAAGCTATTGTCGCTGAATATGTAGAGCGTCGTGAGAAGGACGTAGAGAAGGGCATCTCTGGAACCAAATGCCTGCATCGAACTTGAACTTACCAGCTAAAAGTGAATTTAATAGCCTGTAAGCAAAAGAGGACGAACTTGGTTTATTAAAATTGTGCAAAACACATTGGTAAACATAAATCCATGGACTTGTCACAAATGGGTGCAAACTGTCTCTGTGGATATTGAAAATGCACTTTATAAGGCCACTATTACTTTCTAGGACACTACAGACATCAGCTTATCGTTATTTCCATTATTATCTATTAAATTACATCCCCTAAAATTACATGTAAAGTCGATGCTTAGTATCCAGCAAGAATCTTTTCAATTCCCGCAACCAAGATATCGGCATGCTTTTCTTCAAAGACAAGGGTTGGTCTCAATCTGACCGAGTCTTCAGCACATCCACCGATGTTAATACCTACCGACTTCATGTCAGTTAAGAACTTGTTTCTGGCAGCAGCATCTGGCAATGACCAAGCAATGAAAGTAGCACGGTCTTTACCTCTCAAGTCTCTCAAGTAGGTAGGATACTTTGCTTGCAAGAGTTCCAACTTGGCGTACAAGTAGGATCCAACCTTTGCAGCAAGAGCAGGTAAATCGTGCTTGACGATTTCCTTACCAATGGCCCCAGCCAAGATCATTCTAGCTGGGTCCCCACACCAAGTGTTAAATTGACGGTAGGCAATGTTTGGAATGATTTCTGGGTCATGGAAGTAGTAACCAGCGGATTGGAACTTCTTGGAGAAAGTGACTAAATCTGGCTTTGGAGTCAAGTTGAAGTGCTCGTGACACCAGAGTTTACCAGTAGCACCAACACCAGTTTGGACTTCATCGACAATCATCAAGGCACCGAACTTCAAGGTGAGGTCTCTTAAGCCTTGGAAGAAAGCGTTGGATCCGTGGTTGTCACCACCTTCGGACTGGATAGGTTCAATAATCAAACCAGCAATTGGACAGTGCCACGTCTTGAAGATTTCTTCGACGATAGCCAAACATCTTTTGTCTTCCTCAGCGTTTTCAGTCTCGTACTTACTTAATGGATATTTGTAGGAAGGGTATTGAGCCTTAGGCCATTTGAAAGAAGGCATGTCCAACTTGTGGACTGGCTTAGATCTAGTGACTGAGGCAGATGCAAACAATCTTCCGTGGAAGGCTCTTTCGAACGATAAGATGGCCAATTCTGGAGAGCCTGGAGCGATGTTTTCCATAACAGATTTGTCTTCTTCGGCGGAGAATTGAGCGGTGAACCCTCTCTTCTTACCTTGGTACCAGAAGAAGGCAGCCTTGAAAGCCAATTCGTTAGCGTCAGCTCCAGAAAGACCAGACCAAACCTTGTCTTGGCCCTCTGGTGCAACCTTGAGCAAATCAGAAATGATTTCCTTCAAGTCAGATCCGGGGAAGTTACCAATGGCTGGACGGTCAATGATAGCTCTGATCATCTTGTCGGACTTAGCAGCCTCAAGCAAGGCAGGGTTATTGTAACCCAATGGAATGGAAGCAATTTGTGCGTAGACATCAAGTAAAGTGTTACCATCGACATCCACAATGTAGTTACCCAAAGATTTTTCGTAATCGGCGACAAAGTAAACCGGTCTAGAGTCAAACACTTCGTTCAAGCTGGCGATCTGAGTCTTAGATTCTGGGCCTGGGAACTCAGTTGACTTAACAACTGGTCCCTTTGGCTCATTGGGGAAATATTGTTCAGAAATAGACATTTGTGCTTCAATAACAAAAACAATATACTGAAGAAAAGAAAGAATCAACAAATTTATATCCCGTTTTACGTCCGCCTAACGTTCCTTTTATATCTGTGACGCTTTGTGTGGAGTGAACAGAATTGCAATCGTACCGTTTTAGCGCTAACGGCGGAATTCCAAATCTGTAAGTTGCTAGCGCGAATGGTTTGGTCACCTGAAAGAGGAAGTGCTAAGGTGCAAGATACGGGTGATCTGTTCCGGAGAGTACAGTACTGGAAGGCGGGAAAGCCAGGGAGGTGAAAGTGATCTAGTAGAGAGCAAGCAGGCGGCTCGATGGTTCGAGAATTCGAACCCCAGAGCGTACAAGAAAGGTGAGTCAAAGGTCAGAGTACCGTATGAGCATAGCAGGACATTTAGCGTTCTGTTCTGTTTTCCGTCCCCATGCATGTTTTTTTTCTGGAGCACCGCTCGATTTAGCGAGCATTTTTCCAACGCAGAGCAGCTAGTAGGGGAGAGCAAGGAAGAGGGAAGAGGGAAGAGGAAAGAGGGTATGCACTTACGAGTGTGGCGCCCAGCAAGACTCTCCAGTAAGATGAACCTGGTCAAACGCTGACACAGCAACGGTGGCTTCCCTTTCTCTCCACTCTTCGACCTGGGACAAGCTGAAAATTTCGCAATCCCCTTTAGGCAGTTGCGCAGCACTTTCTCTCACCCACCTACTCCGTATCTAAGTTCCTGCACATAACCATCACAATCCTGACTCTTCCACTCTCCTGCACATTGCCATTTTTCTCTTTTGCATACATTTCTCACAATTCTGACTCCTCCACTCTCCTGCACATTGCCAATCCTTTCCTCCTGCACATTGTCAACTCTTCCCCTCCTGCATACACGCAGAATATAAACAGATGAGATAAAAAAAACCATAACAACGGTAGCCTATTTGCAAAACACAGAAGGCCACCACACGAGAGACTAAGCGGTTCTATTCCAAAACCGATCTTTATTGCCAAAAATACCCATTACGACTTCTAGCTTTAAACTCAGCTTGTTTTGCGTCGTTTTGATTTCGTGATTGGCTTATTACAAGTACAATGAGTTCAGTAGCGTCTGGTAGGGAAGACCATGACTACGATTCACAGCAGGAGCAGCCCCATCACCACGAAGATCACATTGAAGCTCCCCAGGGTGAACAGGTACACAACCATGAACTTGAGCGTGACATTTCAAACGATATTCATGAGTCTTCAGGTACAAATGTAGGCCATCAAGAGGAGCATCATTTCTCCCAGCTACTTCGCAAGGAGATGCCCACGGTTCCCAAACAAGAAACTAATTTGAGTATCGATGAACTTGACAAGATGATTTCTGATTCCATAAACCACGACTCGAACTACTTAGATAGCGAGAACCGTGAAAAAAGAGGAATCGACCAAGTTGAAGAGCATGAGGCTGAGAGTAACAAAAGACACAGGCAGCATGAGCAGGAGTTGGAACAGTTAGAGCAGCAGCATAAAGAGTTGGACCAGCAGCAACAGCAGCAGCAGCAGCAGCAGCAACAGCAGCAGCAAGAACACGAGCAAGATCAAGTACAGCAACAACAGCAACAAGAAGCACAGGATCACCAACAACCAAGTGAGCTCGAAGAGCCACAAGAAGCTGACTCTGACCAACAACACGAACAGCCTATAATTCACCAGGATCACACCAAATCCAATGAAGATTTGGAGCTAGAATTCGAAAAGGCCATCGAAAAACATCATAGAGAGTCGTCGGCGCCTCCAGCTGAAGGAAGTAACAGGAACTCAGAGAATGAAGAACGTGAAAACCTACAAATGATTGCCAGTGAGCTCCAAGAAGCAACGGGAAGTAAGCCCCAATCCCAACAAGTTCAGCCAGAACAACAAGAAGGTTTACTGAGTGGGACACAAGCACACCTGGATAACCTGGTACCTTCCGGTGGCCCATCAACATCAGCGAAGGATGATAATAGAAAGCTGACGTCTTCTCCCAGGTCTAATGATCCAGTACCAGACTCAAACGAGACAAAGAGCGCTGAGAACAATGGCAAGACGGACACCGATAATACGAATGAAAAGAATAAAGAAGAACAGGAAGTAGTACTACACGATGGGATTAATGTACCTGCCAACTCCGAACTCTTAAATACCAATACTGCGTATGCGGCATACAATGCATTATCAAGTCAATTGCCTCCGCTTGCAACTTTGGCTAATGCGCATTTGGCAGCTTTACCATTGCCGATTGTTGCTATGGAATATTTACCCCCTAGAGTCCAGTTATTAATTAATACTTTACCCACCTTAGACAATCTTGCAACCCAATTCTTACGAATTATGGCAGTGGGACCGTTCCAGAAGATTCTTGACCTTACCAGTAACCCAGGTACACCAGCGGGAGCTACATTTAGGGATTTGGCATCATTATTAGATTTCACCAAGAAGTTGTACTCTGAAGAGGATTTATTCTTGACTGTAGAACATTTGGCGCCAGGATTTTGGAAGAGTGGTGAAAGGACTCCTGCAATGTTCAGAAGCAGAGAACAAAGTATTGAGCTGACATTGAGGAAAGTTAATTTGGCTACATTTTTAGGTGCAGTGTTAGGTATGTTGGAAGTTGGTTTCTACTACCTTAATGAATCGTTTTTAGACGTTTTCTGCCCTGCTAATACACTAGACCCTTCGAACGCGCTATCAAATATGAATTCCAATAATTTACTGCTTCAAAGCGGTGTTAATACCACTATCGGAGGAACTGTTGGAAAGCTTTTGAAGGCACAAGCGGTCCTATACTTGGATTTGAAAACTCAGGCGTATATTTCCGCATACGAAAATAATGATGGTAGAACAAGAGAGGAGATCATTGAAGATCTCTTTCCAAGTGATTTAGAAGAAATAATGCTCAATAGAAGAGGAACAAAGACATTGAGTTCGCATGAATTAGACTTTGTCGAAAGGTGTCACTCTAGAAAGGATACCTTGTTGAAGTTTGACGATAATAAGGCACTTGCTGAGGAGTACGAATGGTTAACTTTCTTGAAGGAGTTGATCGAATACTCGAGTAAGAATATGGGATTCTTGATCTGGGGCAAGAGAAATATCGTGAGAGATAACGGTATTGGAAGTGTGTCTGGCTCCAGCATATCTACCGCTTCTAATTCAATGACTGCAAACAATAATAAGCAATCCGACACCCCCCATAGTCAAGATCTTCTTAATCAGTCCGATGTAGCCGAAAGCATAAGACAACAAGAAGAAATAGAAGCAGAACGCCAAAGAGTACTGGATGCTATCCACAGCCATGATATAAATGATATCACCAGCAGATTGTTGCCCTCTGAGATTCAAGAGCAACAAATCCATCTCCGCATAAACCCTAGGTCCTCTGTGAGAACTGTACAAAGACGTCCATGGACTAAGGAAGAAGAATTGGCGCTCAGGCTGGCTTTGGAATTGAAAGGTCCGCTGTGGTCTACAATTTTGGAGTTGTTTGGAGCTGGTGGAAAGATTTCGGAAGCATTAAAGAACAGAACCCAAGTTCAATTAAAAGACAAGGCAAGAAATTGGAAGATGTTTTTCTTGAAGAATGCAATGCCATTGCCAAAATACTTACATAAAGTCACTGGAGACCTTGAAAGAGAAGATAGAATGAAGAACAATAAGAGTAAAATGAACAAGAAAACTGCAGCTGCTCCCGTTCCGCCAATCCAAACTAGTCAAAAGTAACGTACACTGGCAATCCATAACTTACTTGAACCGAACCATACTCTATCATAGTCATGTTTTAATTTTTTTTTGAAAGTTTTTTTCTTTTTTACCCTTTTTCTTCCTCTGTATAGAATATAAGTTACATTTGGACTCGATTAGATGTAGATACTTTACAATGTCGTTGAGTGCCTTTGTCCCATTGACACATTCAAGTAATAATGTCAGTGTGATTGCTTGGCGAACGAACATCTTAAGTATTATACGACATGATCAATATTTCAGGGCCCCTTCAAGGCACTTCCCTTCTTAGGCTCTTTTCTGCGCCCCTTTAAAATCATTATAGACCTATTGTATTCCATCTACTCGTCTTACGCACAGGTTTGGATTATTTAGTTATTAATATTTACCATTATAAAATCACTAAGCCTTCTACTTCTCAAGTTGACACAACATAAACAACACTCGAAGTTTCGTCTACTTTTTACTTTTCTCGATATTCTCTACAGTCTACAGCTCATCCTTTATCTTTTTAACTTCTTCTAGGTTCGTCAATCTTCATTTTAAACCTCATTTGTGTGTTTCTTCACAAATTCCCACAAACTTTTCAACAAACTTTCTGGTAATGTAAGTAAATCCATTGAAAACTCGCCATTTTCAACATCGTTTTTTATATTCATATCGTTTGTCCTGTTATCAGTAACCATCTGCACAATGACGATCAAATCGTCTTCACTGAGTTTAGTTAATCCGTTTGATAATTTTTCCAAATCAACCACACCTTTAGCTGAAACACCACTGGAACCATTCTTAGACTTCTTAATCTTAGAGCCTCCAATTACATCATCTGTCTTTCTTTTGCTATCTCCACCTGAGCCTGAGGCGATTCCGTCAACTCCACCTGGAACGGTCCCACTTTCCAATAATAATTTGGTCAAAGCTTGAGATTTATTGGTGGGGATTGAGATTGGATGGTCGACAACATATTTTTCCAGCAAGAAATTTAAATCATGACTAATGTTTCTTGTACCCAATTTCCCAGCTATGCCCACTAAATGAACAGAAATTGGAATATCAAATTCACCCCAACCTTGCTCTTCCATCCTAAATGGAGGAGATTTTATAGTTCTCATTGGATTGGCAAAAGTTGGATGTAAGGAGTAAATCACCTTATCCAAGATGTTGGCAGCTATTTCATTTCCTGATTGGTCAAGCATTGAAATCTCAATGGACCACGATCTCATGGGATAGTTTTCCACAGGAGGTAAATCCTTCAAGATGTGTTGCTCGGTTGTGATTCTAATAGTTCTTTTAACCTAAGAGTTAATTGTTAGTAACTTTGTTTGAAATTGCTTATTTTTGCAACACGACAAGGTCCTGAAACATCTTCAAAACGGAGTTTTTTGTATGCTTCCTTTCTGATACTTACTTCCGACATTTTCTTCTATATATTGCGTCAATGTACTCGTAATCCTTGAAATTTCTCGGGAACACTTTTCGTATTTCCCCTATGACAGATAGATAGATTGATTGATCGATTTATAACCTATAACTTACTAACCCTGTAGTGTCTGATTTTCACCTTGTGTAGATTTTCTCAAAGTTTTATTTTTTTTCTTTTCTGGTGGAAAGGGCCAAAGTTGCACAAAATCGATCGTTACGTAACACGCGAGTAGCCTCTGGGACTCAACATGGCTTCTCTGGTCAAAGATTGGGCTAGAGAAGAAGTGGAATGGCTGCAATTGTAAAGAATAGCGTAGTGTAGACTGGGAGATACCTGAGCTGTGGAGACTCACCTTTGAAGGTTGATGCGTACGACCAATTGTGTGCAACTACCCCATTGAAAGTTTTTCTGGTGATCCTGGGTGCTCCCCGTAGCGAGAAATGCTCTGACATGGGCGATTGCGTGTTGGGTTCGGTTACATGTACACTCTCTGACAACTCAGTGCCGTTTGAATGAATGTTATTGGATGCTGGCGCTGGGGTGGCTAGAAAAATATCATTCAATTGAGTAGCTGTAGCTGCTGGTACTTTTTCTTGCTCTTCTGCACTTTCTGCTGGAGTCGGTGGATCTTTCTTTTGTCCATTTTCTAATACCCAGCTGGTATGGCCGTGTAATGTTTCCTCCGTTTTGTTTTGTTCTAATTCTTTTTGTTCCACATCCACTTCATCCTGTTCATCAGCACCACCCACTGGCCAACCAACTTCCAGAAGACCCTCAAGTTTCTCCTGTCCTACCTGCGGCCAGAAATGCGCCTCGTCTACTTCTCCTGATTCTCCTTCAGAGTCTTGCTGTAGTAATTCTTCTACCTTGATCTCCTCTCTGCCGTCTTCTGACCCGCCAGTCACTGTCAGATGGTGCCCGGTTGTAATGCTTTGCTCTCCACACTTCTCCTGAGTAGTAGAAATAGCGTGGTGCCCTAAATGTAATATTCCGTCTAAGCCATATGCAAATTCTGGCTCTGCTGTATTTGCGGGATACCAATACCTTTCAGTTTGGCCCTCACTAAGAAATTCTGCTAAGTCTTTTGTGCTTACCGGAATACTACTGTTGAATTCAGTTGGGAAGTGCTCAGTAGAGTAGGTCACAGAATGATAAACTGGCACATAAATAGTTTTAGTTATAATTTCTGTTACAGTCTCGGTGAAATTCGAGTACTTGACAATAGACATGCCTGTTGACACGGTCCCCATATGTCCTCTCGGTTTTATTACTACTTGCTATTGATCGAACTTGCTTTGCAACCTTGAGCTTTTTAGTTTGGGTGCAAAAAAGCCTGGAAAAAAATCAAGTGCACCACAAAAGCAAGCGCACCTACTGTTCCTACAAGTGTCAAACCCATCGGGAATACTACTATGTACTATATCTATTTGGCTTACTAAATATTTGTTCTATTTACAGGGCAAGATATATAATTGCCTTTTCTTTTTTGAATAATGTGCTTTATTTTACCTTTTTCTTCACTTCTTCTTGAAGTACTGATTGTACTCCTTACTAGCCAATGCCTTCGCTATCTTAGGAGTAGTGCCCCAATTTTCAGCTAGTTCCCCACACAACTTCATTACATCGCCAATCTTAGGCACATGTTCGCCTCCGACCGGATACTTTTCTTCCAACAACTTCTGGATTTCGTCCTTGATATCAGATTCCGATTTAATTGGCAAAGCAGTGATATACTCTTCAATGATGGAATTCTCTTCGATTTCATTTTGCGCCAAATCGGGTCTATCCGATTGCTTATAGTTTTCAATGGACTTCATTCTTTGCTTGACCAATCCCTTGTACACACGCAAGAGCTCATACTCCGTTTTAGGATTTCCCTCAATTTCATCATTCTTTATAGCCGAAAGAATGCTTCTAATGGTACTCTTTCTGGTGTCATTTTTCGCAACCATCGCTTGTTTGAGATCAGTTCTAAATTTGGCGAGAATTTCGGTATAAGCTTTACTGGGCGCCTGGGTAGAGGATAATCTTACGAAGGAGGAGTACTGGCTAAGCACACGCGATCCTGGGAGTACAGACTTGAACATTGTGGGGATTGCGGAATCTCGTTCAGAGCAATACTCGGTTCACACTAACTCTTTTAGTACAGCTGCCGCTAGCTTAACAACAGTTGGAGAGCGACAAAGAAAGAAAAAAAATGAAGGCTGAGTGAGAGAAACGAGCCATACAAAAATTGAGTAACGCACTATTCCTCTATTAAACTTTCTTGAGCAATGTTAAGAAATGAATCTGGATCATCACCACAACACACTACTTTTCCTTCGGTGAGCAGAAGTAGTTTAGGTCGTATTCATGTCAACACAGAATTAAAACCTATGGAGGTCGCGAAGTCAATCGCTTAAAATTACCATCATGTTCAGAAGTATTGTTTGGTTTCGATAAATAGTGTTCCGTTTCTTAATTTCATTTCCATGCTTCAACCTGCACGGGCGCACATACCAACTAGAAACATCTCTGGCGTTATAAATCCTTTTTTGTGAAGTCTTAATAAGTCGTATGTTCTGTTCTTTGCATAATCTCTCAAACTCTCCGACATGCTTTATCGTTGCGCTGAGTCGCCTCAACTCGTAAGATAATCCCCCACTTACCTGTCTATGATATCAGATAGCATTGTTCCGTTTATGTCATATCTCAATTCGAATATGGCCCAGAAACCGAAAAAAGGTAATAATTAATAAGGCTAGGCCAGAAAATAAAATGCGTTATACAGAGAAGCATTTGCACATGTTCCTTAAACCAAATATCAAAAGTGATGATCAAAAAAAAAAAAGGATTGAAAAAAGAAAGAATGAATGAAATTAAGGTAAAGGAGCTTCGATGATGAGGTACTTCGTCTCGGCGTGTAAATCTTTGGGGCAACGATACAATTAAAAAAGAGCTCTTTCTTCGTCAAAGTCAAAGGTATGCAGTTCATAGAATAGTACAATGCTCCTTATTATAAGTTCTCCGGTTTCTTTTGATAATGGTTGCGTAAACTACCACACCCACGGGAAAAATACTTCAGCACAAAACTTTAAACACTCAAAACGTATCCACTGGCATGATGGGTGGTCTTTACAACGATGTCATGCCAATAAAAATAAAATAAAACCGTAAAATATTTTTGAGATCCTTCTTATGCGACCATAAAACTATGGTGTATTGGTTACACGAGAGTTACATCTTGCGCTACATGGTGGACCTCGACCACTTTACATTAAGCTGCCAAAGACTTACAGAAGTCAACATTACCGCTGGTACTGTACACATTATCATTCACTTGTATGCAGCTGAGCTTACTGGCTTGAGTTGACTGGAGAATGGCACCCTCTTGTCTGCCATGGAACGTAAAGTACAATGTGTGAAAAAATATATATTGCTGGTCGTGCTTGAACCTTGTACTGGCTAAATGATGCAGGTGCCTGCGTGGACCCCTGCAGTCTTTATCATCAGAACTTGTTTCCTGCAACACTTTATGTGTGTAAAGTAGGCATTAGAGATACAATGACATAATAGCGATTATGTTACTTATTCGGATTACATTCTTATCTAATTCTTATCTATCGCTACCTGATGAGACCAGCTCCCATCACACATTAGGAAATGTGGTGGGGGGTATCTGGAACACTCATTGTTAGCGATGTAAACGCACTCATTGGTTCAATAAGTCTTGTTTGACACGACGAACAATAGGTCATTTTTAGAAGCTGAATATTTTTTTCTGGATTATTTCTTAACAAAACGAGCTTCACTGACCACATTCATACATCATAGTACCTAAGCTAGTTCATTCCATTCTTGTACTTTACTCTTTCTATTTTTTTTTTCTTCTTTTTTTTTTTTTTTATTTTCTTTCTTTTTATTTTTTTATACCTCATTCCTATTTTTCCCTGAGAATGTTCTGAGCAAGTGAATTACAAGGCGGATAATTGTAGGAACAATGATCCTTCCAGTTATTTCAGCTAAGCGTTACCAATATAGCACAGGGGATTCGGCTGTACAAGAAGTATTGTAACTAACTTGTTAGGAACTTTTCCGGAAATAAAAGGAATGATCACCACCTCTGTCTGTCGTAACGACGAGATAGTATGTTTTTCATGCCACGGTCGGTCTTTACAAGTATAAACTACATGAAATGCTGTCTCATGCGTAGTAGGCCTATCAAATAAGCTTTTAAATTGGTAAATATTTTTTACATGCGTTATCTGAATATCTACAGCTTTTGGGTTTTCGGTTAACTTACCTTCTAGACTTAGGAGATTGTTTCAATTACACTTTGGGAATAATTCAAGTGGGCTCTGCGGCTGACGCAATCACTTTTTTAAGCTAAATAAGCAAAGAAAATTAAAACAAAATTGTGGATATGTATAGTTTTAAGCTTTTGCATAACTTAAATAATTTTATTGACATTCCTGATTTAATAGCATAAGAATTTCCTGTTTTAATATAAAATGCCTAGTCGATCATAACCAGTTAGACGTGTACAAATAAATATATATAAATAAAGATAAATATATTCGAATATTAACCACACGTTAACTCACACATCAACGTACATATTTACGAGCCACATAAGAAAAATAAGAGTTAGTTAAATGAATCTATTGCTACAACCTCCCAAGTCAAAGTCAACTTTAACAGTATCAAATCACCATGCCATCGATACGCATACCCGTCTGTCACCAGTCACTGAGCTTGCTGTAGATACTTCAGTAAGCTCGATACCGTCTCCATTACCCACACCATCACCTTCATCTTCGACATCGTCGTCTTCTTCCCCATCCGCTTTACTAGCTGGACTTTTAAATAGTCGCAGCAACCTAAACGCGTACAAGACTACGCCCTCCATATCTATTTCTTCTTTACATTCTTTATCATCTGAAAGTATACTGCTGCTGGCCCAGTCTGTTACATCAAATTCCTCTACTTCAATTCAACCTTCCAAGCATACAAATCAGTTCATTTCAAGTTTTATAGATAGATTGAGATGCCCTGCGGATAACATCTACGTTATAAATTCATTACCAGATGCTAAAGAATTATTAGACTTCTATTATTCATCGTCAAGAAATAGACTACCAAAGGTTGATGAGTTATTTCCTTACTTGCATGGGTTGAATGGTATCAAGCAAAAGATTTTCTTCAATCCTGAATTAAATAGTAATCAGGAAATAAACGAAAAGTTGGCTAGTACTTTAGATTTGAAGGACTATGATGAAAATCGTTTTAACAAAAACGATGTATGTCCACCAACCTTAAATGAGCATTTCCATTTATCGTTTATTTCATCGAAAGAAGTTAACCAGAGTTCGAGTGGAAATGCTTTGATAAATTCAATTTCAATCCACGACTTGCTTACACCCAGAGATACTGACCAGGAAGAATGTTTTATTGAGCAAATTTCATATCAGCCATTCGACTTTATAAATAAGATTGACCCTAAGAATATGTATGAACTCAACAATCGTAATTTCAAGTCCCAAGTGAAACTAACTGCACCATTTGCCAACTTTTGCATCTATAATCAGGATAACGACTATGGAACCAACTTGGCAGCAGCCAAATTCATATCAAAGTCAATTGATGATAAGAACTCAACCCAATTAATCTTTATTTTAGATTTGTCCGCAAGTGATGTCGAAGGATTAGGTTCATACTTAGAAAAGAATTCTGAGTTTTACAAGTCTGCAATATTAGATAATCCTATGGAACTGCCAGATGGTATCGATGAAATTGCAACCTTCAGTTGTAAATTGTTGAAATGGGAACAGAACTTAATTTGGAACTTGAATTCTATGAAATGGTTGCATCCAAAAATTTGTTTAGGGACCTTGATTGATTTCAACAGGTTAACTAATGTCGAAGGTGGAGTCAAAAACTCTCCCTTTAAGTTATACATTAATTGTCACCAAAATGCCCAATTTCCAGAATTGTCTCAATTGAATGATATTTTGCACTCACTTCTGGAACTGGAACTGGATGGTTACGACTTGGATGCCATTTATTTGGAATTTCCTTGTTCTGGTTCATTGTCCATCTCGAAGATCACCTTTGAAGAAACATTAAGCTTCCTCAACGTGCTTAAAATTATCCAAATCTATGCATTGAAAAACCACAGTACATTTGTCTTTTGCTACGATGGTTTTACTGGATTATCACTATTGGCTATGTCAATAGCATACTTATTTAAATTGGATCCGGATAATGAATTGACTACTGAGAATGTTTTACTTGACTTACTTACTGATTTGACCAAAGACTTAAGATTATACTTTTTTAAGAATGATTTGCTCTTTATGAAGAACTTAGAAAAGTTTATCGGTTGGGTACATTTCGAAAATATCTATAAGTCTAGATATTTGAATAACTTTGATGAAATCGATTACACGAGGAGCTTAGACTTTCACTCCAAGTTGGACTATAGATTAATTTTGAATTTGGAGCATAAGAGCATTTCAAAATACAGTAAGTACGAGACCCGTAGGTTGAATGCCTCGAATGTTGACTGGTTTGACTTGAATCAGGACAATAACTTTCCTTCAAGAATTTTGAATACTTTATATCTTGGTTCCTTAAAACATGCATCATCTATCACATTATTAAATGCTATACAGGCTACAAGAATTGTGTCATTGGGTGAGAAGCCACTTTGGTTTAAGTATCTTGACGATTACCTTGTATTTGAACATGAGCTTTCTGAAGAAAAGGTTGGAAATCGAAAGGTTATCAGACCTCTATACACTTACAATTATGCAAAGATCTACGCCATTGAATTAAACTCCGGAGCTTCTTCAATAGTGCTTTCCAAAATCCCCAACTTGAAGAAAATTGTTTACATTTACAACTTGAAAGATGACGGTAAGGATTCACTTTTACCGTTACTCACGGAAGTTCCTGAATACGTCAAGAATGAGATACTCATTGATACCTTCAAAGAAGATGAGAAAACTTTAATTCACTGTAGAATTGGGGTGTCTCGTTCTGCAACTTTAGTGATTGCAACTTTAATGAAACACTACAAGTGGCTGTTAATCCAAGCTTATATGTTCGTAAGAGTAAAGAGGTTCAACATAATAATTCAACCAAATTTGAAGATATTTTACGAGCTTTTCTTATATGAAGAGTACCTTAGAGGAAATAAGGGATCTAGGACGGTTTGCTGGGAGTACTTATGCAACGAAATACATAAATTAAATAACCATTACCTATCGAATTGCTCATAGATCGATAGTTAAGTTTTATAATTTAAAATAGAACAATTTTAAGGGTGACCTAAATGAAGTAGATCAGTAATTAATATTTGATTCTCTATTGTTATAGTATATGAATCATGTAGGAGGTATTAAATTCTCTACAGCTCTCCGTGCATAGAATCGTGCAGGTATTGTATTCTGTAAGCATGCCGCACGGGGTATAAAGTAAGGACATCATTTACAATTAACAACATAACTTTAAGGTAGCTTACAATTTAAGATTCATAGCTTAAGATTTAGTACATATTGCATATTTCACTAATTTTTGTTTAAGTTTATAATCCTAACTCTTCTAAGAAAGCATCCAAGGTAGGCTCCCTTCCTAATAATTCAACTACACCTTCCATTACCTCTCTTGAACCACCTTTAGACAAAATGTAGTCCCTATACTTAATACCATTTTCTTGGTTCAATGGATCATTTTTGAAGATAGAGTAGTAGATGTCGTCTGCATAAACTTTAGAGAAAAGGTATCCGTAGTAACCTGATTCGTAACCTCCTGCAATGTGACCAAATGAGCCATAGCCATAGGTGTTAATTCCACCATTTGAGATTCCTGTCAATTCTTCTCTAGCATCATTCCAAAGTTTTAATAAGTCTAACAGTTCGATGTCTTCCTTCTTGGAGAGCACATGTACCTTCATATCAAAAAAGGCAAAGTGTAATTGTCTTAAATTGAATAAAGCACCATTAACGTTTTTCGATTTGATCAATTGATCTATTAACGCATCAGGTATTGGTTCTCCAGTTTCGTAGTGAGAAGATAAAGACTTAACTTCATTTTTAGACCAAGTCCAGTACTCAAATGATTGTGAAGGTGCTTCAACGAAATCTCTTGGAACATTTGTACCATGGAACCTAGCAAATTTGGTGAATCCTAAAATATCGTGCATCCCGTGTCCCAACTCATGGAAGAATGTCACAACTTCATCATGCTTCAATAACGATGGAGTATCTTTGGTTGGCTTGGTGAAGTTACACACTAACGCTGTAACAGGGCGGATCACTTCTCCAGACTTTGTAACATACCCAGGAAATAGGGAAAAGTTGGCTGCATGCCCATACTTACCCTTTCTTGGGTGCAAATCAAAATAAATCCAACCTAAGAAGAGGTTTTTTGGCGAGCCTGCCTTTATATTTTGATACACAGCAAATTGTTTGACCTCTTCGTGCCAAACGTGTTTTCCTTCAGTAGTTTCCACGAATTTCACATCGAACAAGTTTTCGTAAAATGAAAGCATCTTTTCGATAGTGGATTGTAATGGGAAATATTCTGCAATCTTAGTATTGTCAACTTGGTAATCCTTTTCAAGCATCAAGTTATCATAGAATCTGTTGTCCCAAATATAAAATTTATCTTGCTTATCGAGGCCCTGCTCTTGGAAATGTTCATCTTTCAAGTTTTTCAACTTTTCAAGTTCTACCTTGGCTAATGGGGATAATTTAGTTTTCAAGTCAGTCAAGAAGTCCAATACTCTAGTTTCTGTTTTAGCCAATCTGTCTTCCAAAATATACTTGGAAATGTTATCGTAACCAAGTACTTGTGCCAATTCAAATCTATACTTAATCAAATCTAAAAGTAAAGGGTCATTTTGCTTAACTTTGTTAGCATCTGCAATGAAGGCTTCCTTTCTGGTTTGTTGGTTTTGTGCATACTTCAAGACAGGTAAGATATCAGGATACTTGAAGGTCACTTTGTACAAGGTTTCACCATCATCACCTTTCTCTTCTTCAAACTGCTTTACTGTTGCTTCTGGCACACCTTTCAATTGCTCTTTTGTCAATAAGAGGAAACCTTCTTCTTCATTATTATTCTTACTGAATTCCAAAGACAAGTCATTGAGCTTATTTTGGATCTTCTTCAACTCATTTCTCTTCTCTTCACTCAAATGCAACCCATTTCTTTCGTAGTCCAAGATGACCTTTTCTAACAACCTCTTAGACTCAGCATCAGGGAAATCTTCAGGTCTAGCCGATGCTTCTAATTTTTTGAACACATTATAGAGATCAACTCTCATTGCCAAATCAACGTATGCCTCATTGAGTAACTTACTGGCTTCCTGGGATGCTTCACGGTGTTCCTTACTGTCCAGGACATATTGATAGAATGGGATTTGGTTTTGGAAGTAGTAGTTTTCGTTTTCAAAGTTTCCGAATGGGATCAAAACGTTTTCAACTGTGGGGTTTTCAATTGCAGCAATTTCATCAAGAAATCTGGTATATAATTCAATATGTTTCTTTGTGAGGGAAGTGATTTCTTCTGGTGTGTGGTTCCATTCCGCTGGCTGCGGAATTGAGGAAGTGGTTTCAGTGGAAGACATTATGTAATACAAGAAGATTGCAGCAATTATCACCAACAATCTGGTCTTAGTGAATGTAGAACGAATTTTGAAAAAACTTTTAATTGATTTACTACTCCAAGGAGATGTGATTTTGACTTTTATTTATACAAGGACACATAAACACCAAGAACCCAACGTAAAATTTCCATTTTAGCTTTTCTTTATTTTCTCCACATAAAAAGTGTTCCAAGTAGCTCGAAACGAGTACAAGGTGAAAAATCATGCTTGCCCTTTGTGCGTACGGCTCAGACTAAGTGAAAAATGTCTATATTTTGACTCGGATGCTACGTCAAGGAAGGCAGAGAGGTACAAGATAAGAGTGGCTCACATCTGTCGGTCTTATTCGGGGGCAACTATTTACATCTCGCCACCATGTCAAGTAGATTATGTTTAAGAGTGTCTACATCGTACCAACGTGCCACACAGAGAGTTGAGTTTTGCTGGAGTACGCGAAGCTGAAAAATTATTTTCCAGTTGTGCCACTTGGAAGAGAAGGCCAAGAGAGGGCCAAGAGAAGTAAGAGTGGAAGCATTGAAGCATTGTTGTATTGAAGCATTATGATATTGTGATATTGTAGCATTCAATCATTGGAGTATTATAGCATCGTAGCATTACAGCATTCAAAATATACTAACACATACTATAAAGTGTTGCAACTACTCGTCCTTTCTCGTGAACATTCCATAAGTATATACATAGTCACCCTCTTCGATTGTTCCTTCCACCTCTAATGTTTCATCACCAATAAACTTCTTCAACTGTTCTTGACTGTTCTTCTCCCAGCCTTTGCTGTCGAGTTTGAACTTCAAGTACCTATCCATGGGCGGCAACTCTACACCATGCTTTGTGGATATTTCAGTGAGTAAAATATGGCTGAGCCTGGTGTCTTCGAACAAGCTGTTGTAGATTTCTGCACCACCGATGATGAAGATCTTGCCTATATTCTTATTTTGCACTTTCACGAGCGCATCATCTAAAGACTTGGCCATAATAACACCCTCCGCTATTGGGGCATCGCTGGTCGACGCAGATCGAGATAATACCACATTGAGCCTATTGGGGAGGGGTCTGAATTTAGGTGGAATCGACTCCCATGTTTTTCTCCCCATCACTACTACATTTTGGATTGAGTCCGAACTGGAGTAAGACGTCACTTTACGGAAGTATTTCATTTCTTGCCTTAATTTCCATGGTAGCGTTCCTTTGTAGCCAATTCCAAGATCCGGAGCCAAGGCCGCGACAATGGCAACGATTGGAGTCGATTTAGTCATTCTTCTCCCGACTAAGATCTGTTTTTCTAAAGGGCTATAGAAAAACAACATAAACAATCATTAAACCATAATGATCATTTTCGTATCGCGCTCGGTAGCACTACAGCCTGCACAATAATAAGTATTTTGATAAACACGATATAAAATTAACACTAAAAATACAGATCTGAATAGTAGTAAACAAGGAAAGAAAGAGAATTGGCATAAGAGTAGACTAATAAACCAACAGGAGTTCCTGGACCACTAATATACAAAACAGAATTAAAAAAGAATTAACAAAGTTTTTTTGTAGGAAACAAATTGGAAAATCTTCATCAACAAGACAAAAACGTTAAACAAGGGAAGAAGTTCAAGAATGGGACATTGAGGAGCACTTGGTTGGGGAACTGTAGCTGATCTGTGAGATATCTAGCAAATAAAAAAAAAAAACTTCAAACACATCCAGGGAAAAATAAATGACAAGCGGGACAAAGAAAAAAAAAAAGGGGGTAGGTGGGGAATATCGTTAGAATTATCAAGTCTATTTCAATAAATCACTTGGTATCACCAATTATCCTCCAAAATTTTTTCCCTTCTGTCTCCATTTGCCACATATTTGTGCTAGTTTCATTCCAGTTTTTCAAAGTCTCGATCCTTTCAAAAGTCCATCAATTCCATTCCATTTCATCTACTTCTTTTGTTGTTTTCATCTCGAAATTACACAAAGATTGTCCGAATTCTCAAAATTCCTTATTTCTTTGCCTTCTTTTCAGTCTTCTTGGTCACCTTCTTTGGGGCAGCCTTCTTAGTTTCCTTCTTTGGGGCGGCCTTCTTGGCGTCCTTCTTTGGAGCAGCCTTCTTGGTAGTAGTCTTCTTGGTAGCTTCCTTCTTAGGAGCCTTAGCGACCTTTGGCTTGGTGACCTTGGCAGCCTTTGGCTTTGCAACCTTTGGCTTGGTGACCTTAGCGACCTTTGGAGCAGCCTTTTCCTTCTTGGCAACCTTAACTGGACCAGATGGACCCTTTGGTTGCAAGAAATCACCGACTTCAACACCCTTTCTTAAGGCAGTGTTGAAGAGAGAGTCGAAGTTTGCAGCTTTAATGTCATAGTTGGATTGAACGTATTTCTTTAAAGCTTGACGGGAAGAACCATTTCTTTCCTTAAGGGTGACAATGGCAGTCTTGATCATGTCTAGAGAGGCGATGTTAGTAAACCATGTTTGTAAAAATAAAATAACCTGAAAAAAACAACAAATCAGGTCGAACATCAGAATCCAAAGATCCCTGATTTTTTCATTCTGGAGAATCCCTTATTCTCTCCCCCTTTACATACCCTTGTAAGTGAGCTTTGAAGCGTCAGAAGTCTTGGTTTTGGTAGACATAGTTGTAGTTATAATATAGCAGTTAGTAATTGAAGTACTTTACAGTAAAATTTAACAGAAAGAAAAGAAAAGAAGGAGGAAAAAATTCTAAAAAAAAAAAATCAAAACAACGGATGGTGGGAGTCTTTTTAGGAATTTATTAAGAAAAATCAAAACTGGTTGATATCGCTGCAAAAAAATAAATAGTTGAGATTTCTGGCTGCAAGTAACATAAACAAAAGCTTTTGTTTTGTTATGATTTGCGAAATTCGCGCATAATTAGCAGCCTAAAGTGCGTGACCGAGTTAACACATAGCGTGGGAAAAATTCATCCCACCTTAACAAAAGAAACTAAATTAGCGAGTTCTCCAGGTGCCAAAATACGAGAGATCAACGGTGATCGAACAAGGAAATTTATGCAGAAATGACCAGGAATGACGAAAAAAGGGAAAAGTTGATTATATAATATAGTCCGAACAGGGAGAACGGAGTGGGTTATGGAGGAGAGGGAAAATGAATGGAGATGTAATGGAAATGGAAATGGACTGGAAATGTGATGGAAATTTAATGTGAGTAAATATGGAAATGAAATGGGGAGGAACTTCTCTACTTCCAAAAATAAAGTAAACAGGGGCGGTTATGTTTTCATTTCATCATGTTTATTAGAAATATCACCTCCTGGTTTCTACTCTATTTGGAAATGTCTTGATGAACTTTAAGTCACACTGTTCGTGCAATATGCCCCACTGAGTTCTGGGAAATTCTGGAAATATTGGGCCCCCACGTGATTGATCTGTTGTCTGCTCTCAGTTTCTCCTGCGCTGTTTCTCCTTCGCTGTATCTCCTTTCTCGCTCCAAAGGGCTGCTACGTTGCTGTGCTTTTCTCTATTTCTTGTTTCCCTGCTGCTATGCTGAACTGTGTCACCATACTCTTGTTCTTAGTTTTCTCCTTCTCTTTCTTCTCTTCTGGCTTACCCCAATGAGACTTCCACGTGATTGCTAGATGGGATCCTGGAAAATGGTGCTACATAGTGCTTCACTGTCTATACTTTCAAAAGATCAGATCTAATACCGATATTCTTACAAATTGGTCGATCATCTTCGTTTCTAGCCCTCAGGATAACAGGAGCCTACGTCCGTACTTCCTTTCTTGGCCAGGCTAAATCCTTGCCTAAGAAGAACCTTGCTCAGGAATATGAGCCTGGGAGATCAGAGTACTACATATAGTGGCTAAGCAATCTAATAAAAAAAAGAGAAACTGAAGCGCCAGCACCAGACTGATAAGTATGTACGGTATTGTGATCAGACAAATTAAAGAGACCATACATATCCTTTCCCACCTCTTGTTTCGTCAACTCTCTTAGTATAACCTTCATTAGAATGCTCTATCAATCCACACCTGGACAGTAGACAGAGCGATCTGGAAATGTGGGGAAATATCCTGTATATATACATCCTTTGCATAAGGTGCAGTACGCACAAAACGCTTCAGCGAGCATTACTTGAGATGCTAGTGTTCTAGAATAGTCAATGGCTCAGACTGGTCTCCAGCTGTAGAAGAGCAAGCAACACCAGCCGCAGATTAGGAGCAAAAGAGTAAGAAATGTAGAAAAAACACAGCAAAGCGAAGCAAGCAAAGCAAATAAAAGCAGTTATTCACTCCTCTTGTAGCACAGTTCCATCTGCAGCTATAGCATCTCGTATTACTTACATAGTTCGCCTTGCTTCGTTTGCTGCTTTTTCTCAAAGCTATTGTTACCAGAAATCGGAACGGATCGAACCGCCGCTGCGAGATATTCCTGGCACATAATTAACTTGCACCCTGTTCACACCTTCACACGGGCTCAACGGGTCATTGACCGAAAGCTGATGGCCATCTTGACCAGAATTTTCAAGCCTCTCTAATTGCTGCTCCGCTGCAACGTCAAAGTTTTAGCCGCTCGCTATTGCGATACGCACAGGCTAGACAAATTACCCTTATTAGCTACTGCCAACTATCTCTAAAGTACTTTGGGTGACTGATAGCTGTACTAGGTAAGAATTAAAATAATATCGCTGCACGACCTAAAAGCTTGTTCGGTATGTTCGGTATGTTTCACTTAAAGTATAACTCCTATAATTGTATGCCCCACAATAATATGCTCCTCAACAGGATGGATTAGGCAGCAATCTTCCGCTTTGAGTCAAAATTAATAATCTAGCCGTACCTGTAGGGGAGATGCATTGACTGAAAAATATATAAAGGGTGCAAATTGCTTGGTTCTGGAACACAATTAATGACAGTACAAGTATATTATTTTTCAAATCAATTGCTTCTTTTTGGAACACTGCTGTTGATAGTATTATAATATAATTTTCAATCCACTAATAATAAATCATGGCTGGTAGCTCATTCTTAAAACTCTCTGACGGGACAAATCTCTTCTATAAGGACTGGGGTACTGGACAGCCTATCGTTTTCAGTCATGGATGGCCTTTATCTTCAGATGCCTTTGAAGACCAGATGATCTTCTTCGCTCTGAAAGGATACAGAGTCATTGCTCATGATCGTAGAGGTCACGGTAGATCTTCTCAACCATGGGAAGGAAACAATATGGATCAATATGCTGATGATTTGGCCGAGCTTGTGAAACACTTAGGCTTGAAGGATGCTATTCACATTGGCCATTCCACTGGAGGTGGTGAAGTTGCCAGGTACATTGGAAGGCACGGAACTGCCAATGTTCTGAAAGCTGCTTTGATTGGAGCAGTGCCTCCTTTGATGTTGAAAACCGAAACGAACACCAATGGTACCCCGAAGGAAGCATTCGATGATATCAGAAATAATGTGTTGAAGGACAGATCACAATTTTTCAAGGACTTGGCCTCAGTGTTCTACGGTTTCAACCACGATGAGTCAAAGAAATCTCAAGGATTAATTGACAGCTTCTGGTTACAAGGAATGCAAGCCTCCATCAAATCATTGTATGATTGTGTTGAAGCATTCTCCGAGACTGACCAAGTTGGCGATTTGCAAAAAATGGACATTCCTACATTGGTTTTATACGGCGATGACGATCAGATTGTTCCACCTATCGCATCAAGTAAGAGAGCAGTTAAATTCTTGCCTAAACCTACAGAGATTGTCTATCCTGGAGCATCACACGGGTTGTGTAGTACGCATAAAGATAAAGTAAATGAAGATCTTTTACGTTTCATTTCAAGCTAAGGGGCTCCGCTCTCCATTTTGGCTCAAATTTGGTAGATTGGGGTTATAGGATATGTATGAATTGTATTCACAAACTATTGAACTTCAATTATCTTGGATGTAATACTTTGTAATTCAATGCTGACTCTGTTGCTCTATCCTTTGGTATCTTCACGCTCATGGATTCTTTTCACTATCACTTTACTTCTCCTACTTGCTACATATTCTTTTCCTGCTGGAGTCTCGATAGTTATACATGTAATCATAAAATTTCTTAGAAAATAGCTTCTATATACATTATGCTAATTATTCTTGAGTCAACAGTGGATCCAGTAATGGCCCCACTTACGAAAGTACTGTGTGGTAGTGAGCATCATATGTGTATTCTCTTGAATCAACTGGTAAATTCACAAAGATTGGCGTGGTTCAACACTTCGGTGGATCAGGAGAGCTACTGATTGAGACACCTCCTCGGTGAATATATACCCACGAGACTGAACGGTGTCTTTTTGTAGACGAAACCGAGACTGAATGGTGTCTTCTGTAGATGGAACCTTAGAAGCGTGGCGGTCCTGTGAGATTACCATGAAGCTACCAAGGTTGCCTTCAAATGCTCCATTAGACAGCATACACCTTGAGTGCTCCGAACAAAACAGCGCAAATCGCCCATTGAGTTAAAACCACGCTCAGGAAGCCCTGAGTACCCTATAAAGGCTCAAAAGCACCTCGATATGCTTCTTCAAAGCATAGGAAGACAGCCTTGTCAAACACACATCAACTGAGCAGTTATGGGCATACCTCGTCTTCCTTCCACATCTGATATGAATCCTTTTCATATATCATTCTCTTGTCCTTTTCCATTTCATACACATCCACGTAGTCCGTGAAAAGCGCAATCAATGCAAAATTCTCCAACCCTACGTCTTCTTTCTTCCCGTCCACACCTCTTCTGATCTTATCCATCTTCATTTGCTTCTCGTCATCCATCTTGGTCTTAGGTGCCGGTTTCCTGAACGAGGCTCTCATCTTCTTACTCAAACCCTGCCACTGTCTCAAGATCTCGGCGTTCCACTCCCTTTCACTAGGCGGCGAAAGGTCAACAGACTCCAAATCGTGCAAGTTGGTGTACGACAAGTTGTTGGCAGTCTTGTACTGCTGGATGCTATTGGCTACTGCTGGAGACAACAAACTGTGGCTAACAGGGCGACATGCTGACGGAGGTGAAGATATAGACGAAGCTGAAGTGCCACTTGGTATCTCCAAAACAGTCTCGTCGTCATCAGAGTCAGCTGACTGGTCCGAATCAAAGTCGGAGTCCGAGTCGCTCGATGATCTCTCCCTCTCTATGATGGTTCTGGGGTTTATACTGCTCAAGTCGACTCTCGGCTTGTACTCATTGTCGATAATTCTGGCGATACCCCTAAATCTGTATTGCTTTTTGGATATTGGGAAGTAGAAGACGATCTCGAACTTATCGTTATGCAACAACTCTTCGTACTTACTCATCCTCTTGTCCGTTGTTAAGGTTAGGATATTATTGTTCTTATCGTTGAACAAAAAGCCTCGGTAGACCACTGTTCTGACATGTGGGAAGCCCTGCGAGTCAACAGTGGCTAGCTGACAAGTGATAAAGGGTTGTGGCGTGGCATTTGGAGGGTTTAACTCATTCGCAATGGTCTGGTTGAACAAATTCACCCAAGGTGCTCTGTACTGGTGCTGTAACATCTGAATGTGTGCAAAATAACTCAGCTTTTTCCACAATTTGGCTTGATTCGCTACTTCTACTGCTTCCTCCGTATGACGTTAGAATGTCGGTAGAGAAAAGAGTATCGAAAGCTGATAATCAGATCCTTTTGTTCAAAGTTAAAATTTTACTGAACTCCGTAGCCTCTACCGAATAAAAATAGGGCGAAAGAAAAAAAAAAAAAAAAATTAGTGCCAAAAAAAATTCCAGCTCGCTAGTTGATGTTGCAGATTGTGAAGAGATCCGGAAGGGGAAGGGGAAAGGGAAAAGAGAGCATAGAATGTATATATATACAGGTGTGTTGGCAGTGTGTTGTATTGCTGGCGTGTTGCATGGTGCCCTGTTGCTCGTCATTAACCTTGTGCTGGTGTTATCGCTGAATCATTTGACTCCACCTCGTTACTGCCGACCCAGAATACTCTGATCTATAACTAAGTGTCGTATGACTAGATGGGGGGTCTCGTGCGGGACGGGCCCTCAAATTAATTAGACAACGTGGTAGCGCCGGAACATTCTCAACCTAAAAATACTGAGGGAAATAGAGCGAAGCGCGCAGAAAAAAATAAATCCTAAGTGTGAGATTGAGGGTGAGGGAGAAATAGAGAGAAGCCGTAGAGAAGTGGAAGAACTGAGAGGCTCAGGTAACAAGAGAAATATGTCGAAGAGCGAGGAAACGGGGAACACTCGAAATGGGGGCGTAATTTGGAGTTCTTGAAGTGTCTTCTTTCTGAAACGAGAAACAGGATCAGATGTATATATCTAGAAGGTGCCAACAGTGCCAACTCCAGTTACACTAGTGGAACACACTCTTTTTTTTATTTTTATTTTTCTCTGGCGGGGGAACATGTTTGCCAGTCTGTTTTGAATTCGGCCGGACATACAATGGAGATAGCGAGCTGGGCTGGTCCGGTTGACGATCTGATCTGTGCTGTGGTTCACCCAGATACTTCCAGGCTTCTTCGCTTGCATCTCTTTCCCAGTGCTAGTATAGCTTCTGCCTTAAACTGCTTCAGTGGTCTGTCTCTAGCTCTAGCCCACTACAATTACTGTTCCTTGTCTTGATGCTATTCCGTATTTCTATGTGTTCTCTTGCCTACCTACTACCTGCTACGGTTATTGTTCTTTGTAACCCCTACTGTCGCACTTACTTGCAAGGTGCTATATAGAAATTTCACTCTATTCAAGCACTGCCCACTGACTTTCCCTTCAGTACTGGCAAAGCTTACACTATGTAGTACAGACTACATACTATAGACTATATGCGGCCCATCGCAGAACTGAATCGGCGCACTTCCAAACTTACAAATCAGGAATTGGGTACTCTGGCCGAGTTGGTCTAAGGCGCCAGGGTAAGGTCCTGGTCTCTCCGGAGGCGCGAGTTCGAATCTCGCGGGTATCATTAACACCAGCAATTCCCTTCACCAACATTAATTACCAATTCTTTTTTTTGCACCCTCTGATAAAGTCCTTCGATCCTGTTTGTCACTGGAATGTTTCTTGATGGTCATCCTACCGATGAATAGAGTTTCATCTCCATGTAGACCACGAATTGACGTATTTATTAGTTCGTGATGATACTAGAATAATTCCGAGGTTTATTCAGTTCATTTCTTCCTTGATATTCTCCTCAGATCTGCCTTTTGAATGTTGACCATGACCATTATCACAATGGGGGTTGCATTTATTGTTTTTTATAGTATCTTGTGGCTTCTATTTTATTTCGTGATCATATTAGAACAGCTGACCCCATTCAACTAGCCTTTGTTATCAATAATACAGTGATGTGCTGCGCACCTTCTTAAACTTCTAAATTAGAAGTCTCTACATTATCAGCTCAGGCTCAATTATATTTATTTTTATTAGAATGTCGTTTTCGATGTACCGTCATGAAGATTAGCTTATTTAAATTATAAAGAGATTAAGTTAAAGAATTGAAAAAGACAACGAAAACGAGTAAAGAAGTAAAGACATAGAAAATGGTGATGAAGCGTAAAAAATAAAACAGCCATTAAAGAACATCAAGTCACTTACGGTTGTTGCAGCTGTTGTTTTACTCGAAATCCTATCTTTCTCTTCTTCTTTCTCTTTCTTCTTATTTGGTGTATATCTCAGTTACATTATCACGCAACATTTGTTGATAGATTTCTCTTTCTTGTTGCCAAACTCATCATTATTCTCCTTTTGTGAACTCTTGGTATTTCGTGTTCTTGTCAGTTTGGTATCAAAGTTTCCATCGTCATTAGCTTTCTTGTCGGTTCCTCCGGTATTAGCTGCATTATTTGAATTTTCCAAAGCATTTTGCTTTTGAAGTTGCTTAGCTTGCTTCTTTTCAGCAGTTATTGCTGCTTCTTTTCTCATTATTTGCCTAACCACATCGATAAAGGCTTCGTCAACATTGGTTTTGTACATGGCACTTGTTTCATAAAATGGAACACATCCCCAGTCTTGGGAGACTTTAATACCGTCTTCTATGCTTAAAACTCTATCGTCTTTCAAATCACATTTGTTACCAATTAAAACCATTGGTACGTTATCGGAATCTTTGATTCTCAATACTTGTTCTCTCAAGGCTAGTAATTCTTTCAACGAATTCTCATCAGTAACTGAGTAAACAAGTAAAAACCCTTTACCTGATTTTATGTATAATTCTCTCATAGCAGTGAATTGTGCAACACCTGCGGTATCTAAGATTTCCAAATCGCATGCTCTTCCGTCAATTTCGATTTGCTTTCTATATGAATCTTCAATGGTTGGATCATAACTTTCTACATAAACACCTTGCACGAACTGTACAGTTACCGAAGATTTACCTACACCACCTGCACCTAAGACAACTACTTTGTAATCTAGAATGAATTGTTAGTATTTTTTAGTTTTTCCTTAGTGCTATGGGGCTAAATTTTGGGGTTTGCGGGGCCTCAAGGTGCGGCTACTAAACCTGATGTTTCCTTCCTTTTTTAGGGCTGGCTTAACTATCAAAAAATTATCAACGAAATAGCAAAAAAAAAAAGAAACCCTTTAATTATAAAAGCTAAACTGACTATAGTAGTAGAATGTTCAAGCTATTGAAATCTTAAAGTTGCCATCAAAAAAAGAAGCTAGCTTAATAGTTGCGTAGTTGTTGCTAGTATGCCACCCTATATCGACATACAAAATATTTCTAATTGGTTTCCATTCCATGTTTTTTTTGCAAGACCCTAACTTTCGTAGACGCGTACATACCTCTCATTTTTTTGAATATTTATTATATTTCAGCCTTGGATCGTCACTTAAGTTATCTTAGTAGATACTTCTATCAAATTTACAATTTAGTTCAATTAATCTTCCTCTGGAACGAACTATATCTCCACGTCCAGCTGTATTTTTTAGTGAAGTGGGAAGAAGAATGTATCCTGTTGTTGTTGATGTGTTGGTAAAAGTCAGATCAGTTGGTTTTTTCGAGCAAACTGAATAAAGCGAAAAAAAAAAAAATTCAAAAAAAAAAAAAAAAAAAATAAAAAGGAAACTTTAAATGACTTAATCGAAATGTTCCCTCGTCAGGCTATATTTCTCGGTACAATTCTCCATTTTTTCTCACTCAGTTCGACTGTATGGGTGGATTAGGCCTGTTTAAGCGCGCAATTACGGACTCGTCAAAAATAAAAGCCTAATAAGAAAAGTGGATATGGCGAATAAAACGCACAATAGAAAAGTCTAGCGGAAATATGTAGGTTTCGGGAATTGACCAATGTAGCCTGGTTTTAAGTAAAAATGATAGTGGCTAAATTCCGTACATCAGCCAGTCGATCTACTAGTCTTAATTGAGTAGTTTGGCTGCCCGATTATATCTGTCTGGGCGCTTTCAAGTTATAACGAAAGAAGGCAGTTTGAGAGTGAAATGAGACAAAAGCGGACCTGGCTCGATGTATGCGGACATGCATTCCAGTGTGTGGTGCATATCGAGGCTCGAGGTTTTTTTTTTTGATTACATGCTGCAATTATTGTCATTTAACTAAAATAGGCATGCGTTGATCTGAAGAACTTGCAATCAAGCATCGGTATACAGACAGATATACAGACAGATAATGGAAAGATCAATTTTTCCCACATAGGGATAGGGATTTATGTTATCTCCGTAGTGCCTTACGCTGACATGTTCGACGTTAGCCACATCCTTCAGAGTCATATTTTTTATGCCTTGTTGGATGTATATCGGCAATTCTGTGGGTATTTTTTAACTTTACTTCAATTTACGTTGATTGCTATGTGGTCCATGATATACATATTAAGGGCTATTGATAAAAGTTAGCTATACACTTTTATTTGCTATTTACTTTTCATTGTGATTGTGTTCCAGTCTATTTTCAGTGCTCCACCAAAAATATTTACTCTACAATGGTAAAATATTAGGTAATGGTCCCAATGGGGTAATAGCCAATGGATTGACTTGAGGATGGCTCTTGGTGTAATGATACTTAATGTGGTCAAAATTAGTTGTTTCTTGAAATTCAGGGATCGTCCAATACAACTTTCTTAACCACTTGTGCAAGTGTGGGTAATCATGTCTAATCATTCTAATGTTGCACTTGAAATGTTGATGGTACACTGGATCAAATCTCACGATAGTGGTGTATAACCTAACATCAGCCTCGGTTAATTCGTTTCCTACTAAAAACTCTTTACCCTCTTCTGCGTTCTTCTTGAGGACATCTTCTACCCTATCTAAGTGTTTGAAAACGTTGACTACTTGCTTGTCGTAAACTTCTTGCTTGGCAGCAAATCCTGTCTTGTAGACACCACTATTGATATTCTCATAAATCCAGTCGTTCAATTCATCTATTTCTCCACGCAATTTTGATGGATACAAGTCAATTTCGGAATATTTCTTTGGAAGTAACTCGTTGAACTCAGTATTGAACATTCTTAATATTTCGCTAGATTCATTGCTAACGATGGTGCTCAATTTTTTGTCCCATAATACTGGTACACTAATTCTTCCATCGTATTTTGGATCAGCTTTGAGATAAACTTCCTTCAACCTTTTGAATGAGTTGACATGATCTATAGTACCGTACTCCACGGAACCTTGTTTGGTTTTGGCTAACTCCTCATTGTTAATGAATCTCCATCCGTTTTGATCCATGTGCCAATTGACTATTGAGATCGGGATGATTTCAGTTAATCCTTTTATGGCCCTTCCAGCAAGAGTTCTATGTGCCCATGGACAAGCCAACGATACGTAGAGGTGGTAACGACCAGCTTCAGCGGCAAATTTAGCTCCAGGTTTGGCTGAGATGAAATTTCTGAAAGACGAAGCTGCACTCTTAAATTCACCATTCGCTTGTGTAAGTTTAGGAGGCATTTTTAGTAAGTTTGTTCACAGAGTATATGGTTAGAGCAGATTGTATAACGCTAATTAGAACTATTTCGTTTGCATTTCTGCTGGATATTTCCTCTGAATTTATAGCAAAGTATTAGTTGCAATCAAGAACGAAATGGTTGGTAGCGATGACCAAAAGCAACTCTTCTGCATTTTGCCAAGGTGAAATTTGCACCCAATTTCTAAAATTTACAAATATTGAAATCATAGGCATTTCGGTCACGAGCTGCGTTATGAAGGTAATTATACTAAACGGTAATAAGAATAGATGAATTATTATGCCGGTATTAAAAGTAAGATGGTACAAGTATGCCGGTGATAAAGTTACTGGAGAGAATCTATTCTGCCTTCGATGTGTACTCCAGGAAGCATATTGATTATTACTGATCTATTTGATTGCAGCTTAGATAAAATAAACGGCACTCGCTTATGCAAGGGAATAATTATCTACATAAAATATCACGCCAATTCTACGTGCTGACATGCAACAAAACGAGTTTATTATTTTATTTACTTATTTATTCATTTATCATTTTACCATACATAGCTCCTTTGGAACTGGTATACATTACCAGTAAGATATTGCTATTATCCCTTTCATTTTGACGCTTGAACTGATCTCAAATTTTCGCACCCAGTGCTCTATTCGAAATCTTGTCGCCCAGCAGCTTTGAGTTGTGTACGGAATTTCATTCCAAAGGCAAGATATTTGGCAAAGGACCCAATGGTGTAATTGATAATGGATTGATTTGAATGTGACTCTTGGTGTAGTGATACTTGATGTGTTCGAAATCAGTAGTTTCTTTGAAACCAGAGATCTTCCAGTACAATGTTCTCAACCATTTGTCCAAGTGTGGATAATCATGTCTAATCATTCTGATGTTACACTTGAAATGTTGATGGTATACTGGATCAAATCTTACGATAGTTGTGTACAACCTAACATCAGCTTCAGTTAATTGGTTTCCTAACAAGAATTGATAGTTCTTCTCGCTATCTTTACCAGATCCCTCGGTGTAATTTTTCTTCAATAAATCTTCCAATTTGTCCAAGTGCTTGAAAACATTTACAACTTCTTTGTCATAAACTTCTTGTTTTGTTGCAAACCCAGTCTTGTAGACACCATTGTTAACGTTATCATAGACCCAACCGTTTAACTCATCAATTTCAGCCTGTAACTTGGAGGGGTACAAATCAATCTCGGAATATTGCTTTGGAAGCAACTCATTGAACTCAGAATTGAGCATTCTCAAAATCTCACTGGATTCATTGCTAACAATTGTTTCCAATTTCTTGTCCCATAAGACTGGCACAGTAAATCTGCCGGAATAGTCTGGGTCAGCCTTGAAGTAAACCTCCTTCAACCTTTTGAAAGAATTGACATGATCCACAGTTCCGTATTCGGTAGAACCTTTTTTTGCCTCAGCCAATTCTTCATCATTGATAAATCTCCAGCCATTTTGGTCCAAGTGCCAATGGACAACTGAAACCGAAATGATTTGGGTCAATCCCTTCAAAACTCTAGCAATGAGAGTTCTGTGGGCCCATGGACAAGCCAATGATACGTAGAGGTGGTAACGACCAGCCTCAGCGGCAAATTTGGCTCCTGGCTTAGCTGAGACAAAATCACGGAATGAAGAAACTTGACGTTTAAATTCTCCGGTGGGTTGAGCCCATTTAAGAGTATCGGTGACCATCTTTAAGAGCTGTTTTATAGAACTAGAGACTGCTGCTGCTGCTACTGCTACTGCTACTATTAATTATATTTATAATTATTCAACTTACCGAACACAGTGTTAGAATTGAATCCGTGAAGTAAAGAGCAATTTCAATTTTTCACCCGAGTGGAATGCAATCTCAATTTATAGCACCTTCAAGATCACTCAAAGTATGGGGAAATTGAGAGCAAAGGTGCACAGTCGTGCTTTTACTAACTTTACTAACCAAATTGGTAAGTTTATGATCGTGCTGATGATGCGGTGGTGAGGATTCGTAAAAATTAATAATCTACAGGAAAGAGGAAATAGGGTTCGAAAGACACGGCTTAGTAATAAGCATCTTGGTGTAATCAAAGTAATTGTGCCAAGCCATAGTTGTGAGAGGTCATTGGGGTAGTGTAGCGAATAGCTACTTTGTCTTATATTTGTAGAGATGAAGATGTGTGTATTTTCCTTCAATGCTATGATTCCACCACTGGTTCTCCGTGATTGTCCAGGTTGGAGAATTTCTACGGTGAGGTGAGCCCCAAGACGCTCGCAGAAGAGTTTTTCCTGCCTGTATGAGGCTCAGAAGCAGGTAATACGAACCTGAAGTAGAGCTAGGAACACCATATGGCATAGCTGAGAAGAAAGAAACTATGAAGAAGAAAGAATCGAGAGTGTTTAGCCGGGTAGGGGAGTCATGGTGGAACGAGCTACACTGCGATGGTACTGGTTTAGTTTTAGCTGGAAGCAGAACTCTAGCTTTTCAGCGGGCCAGGCCATTGGCTCGGCCTTTTTTTTTTTTTTTTCTTTCTTTTTCGTTTTCTCATCAACATCAAATCTGCACCATTCTTCGGAATTTCCAATGGTGTAATCCTAGTTTCCCAATAAGCTACTTAATATCTATTCCTGTATCCCTGTTTTCTAAGTAAATACCCCCTGCCGAAAAGTCTCTGCTCTTGCATCTAATATTACACATAATTAAACGGAACAAAGCCCACGTCAAATGCCTACACTGTTCGGACTTTCCGCCGCCCCCTAGTGTGTGTACTTTCAAGCACTGTGCAACTTTTTTCCAACCAAACCCCACGAAGAGCGGCTTTGACGTATAAGAAGTTGCAAATCAGCATGTCGAAGACCTGGTTCTCCGTAAACCATGAGACGGGCGCCCCGAGCTGAGATACCACATTAAAACCGCCACTTTATATCTACTTTAATTCTTATCACAAGATCTTAAATCTTAATCTACTACGATATTTTCTCAAGATAGTGAGACTATATAGAAAAATTTTTTTCCCAACGTTGCCAGTGGAGAACCGCCTGTTTGTTGATTTTCAAATTAATTTTGTTTTTTCTGTTTTGTTGTTTTTCCAACGTTTGAATTTGTTTTGGTTAGTGGATGCCTATTAGCGTAAGCGAACGTATTAATAGTCTTCTTGATAGCCTCCTTGTAACTAGCTACCTCCCTGACCTTAAGTAGATGTCTCAACAACAGTCCGGCCAGAATTCTGCCACGCTCCCCTTGGATAAGCGAGCACCACCCCCACCGCAACAACAACAACAACAGCAACAGCAACAGCAACAGCAACAGCAACAAAGGTTGCCTCCCCTGCAATATCAACAGTACCAAAATCCTAACATCCCGGGCCAAATGCACCAGATGCACCAACCTCCTCATCAGCTTTACCATATGCCCCAGAACGCTAACCCCGCCGCAGGCTCTCCTGCTCAGACCCAATACCAACAGTCGCAACAGCTATTACAGCAGGCAGGATACTCCAACGGGCCCATGCAGCTGATGTATGGCCACTACAATAATCCCCAGCAGTCCGTAGGCTACAACTACCCTGTGAATTACAATGCCAGGTACCCGTATTATGGAGGTGCCGGTACTGGTCAGTACAATCAATTTGGTGCACCACCAGAGTCTCATGACTTAGAGCAGCAACAGCAACAGCAACAAGGTCAGCCACCATCTCAATCTCTGGGTCACCCTATACAGCAGCAATCCGGTCAGCATCCTGGTCAGCAAACAGGGCAGCCTGGTCAGCCTGGCGCCCCTCTTGACCAATTACATTCTCAATACGGCGCAGCGAGTGGTATTGGCGGATCCCCTAATGTAGGAGCAGCTGCTGTGCCAGGTTCAGTCGGTACTTCAGGTGGAAACGTAAACGCTGAAAACTACCCAGTTCTCCATTTTCTGCCTCCAATTCCAGTGAACTCCAATCAGTTTAAGGTTGGTAAACCTCCAGTCAACCAGAATAAAAAGAAACATGAGATCACAACTCCGGGATCTGCAGCATCGGGCAGCACAAACTCCAAGGCTAAGCCAATAGGTAGACTGAAGGCCAAGGGCCCTGCTCCAGACTCATCTGCTGATAGACCGTTCTCATGTGAGTTCCCTGGGTGTGAATGGGCATTTAGCAGACAATCCGACTTAAGAAGACATTCTAAATCTCATGTAGAGCCCATGTTCCACTGTCCCTATTGGAGGAACGATCCTACCTGTCACAGAAACGGGGGTGCCTTTAACAGATTGGACGTCTTGAAAAGGCACTTGAAACTTGTACACTACGTCCAAGACAAGCTGCAGTTGATCCGAGAGTCTAGAGAGGATCCTGGCTGGTGTAGATCATGTCAGAGAATGTTCCCAAATTCTAAATACTTCATTGACCATTGCGTGGACTGTGCACATCTGGGCACTCCTGTTGAATGGAAGCAGACAGACTCATTCAAGTTCCAAAAGAGCTCAAAGCCTGACCAACAACTTCAGCCACCTTCTGGACAAGTTCCTCCTAAGGTTCAGCTACCAGATCTTACAAATGGCAAAAAAGCCGACAAAACTGGCGCTTTCATCAACTCCGATATTAAGAAAAAGGAACCCAAAAAGAGTAAAGCAAAGAGATAATTAAAATAAGTAGAGAAGATTTTTAAACTTTATTTATTATGTATTATAAATTCACCTATGATAATCATATTTCAGCTTCTACTAATGTACAGATATTTTACACTTGATCATTCAATCCCTTTATCTAATTTTCAACCTCTTGATCTGCTTCTCTCGTTCTGGTTTGGTCGAAGAAGTCCAAGATAGCACAATTTGGGTGTAAGATATAAACAGTTCTAGTTGGGCCACCTTCTTGTTCGAAACCATCTTCATTCAAGGTGTTGGTGACACTCATCAAAATTTTATCTTTGACTAATCTCTTCAATACTTTGTAAGCCAATTTTCTTTCCGTATAGTATTCCAGTTCACTTTGGATGTCATCTTCCTTTTGAGTAAGGTACCATTGAACCAATTCATCTCCTGTCAATCCTTCGCCGCCTTCATTTTCATCGTCTGAGACCTTCTTGACTAATAAATTCATCATTGAAACGTATTTATCGTAAGAAATAGCCGTTGATTCTTTCTTTCTTTGAGAAGAGTCAGGTATCAGCGGTTGCGATTGTTCTGGCTCTGCCTGTTGCTCTTCCTGCTCAGTTGGCTCAGCTTCACCTTGCTCCTCTGATATTTCCTCTTCGATTTCAACATCGTCCATTTCAACTCTAATAATGGACTGTCTCAACAAATCGTAAGCCTCTGCAACAAAGCTTGGAGTAATTTCTTCAGTACAGTTAGCTCTTGCTATGGCTTCGGACAATCTGATCATACTTTCCAATTGTCTAACTGTAATTCTATACGAACTTCTTCCTAATCCTTGAGCGTCGTCATTTCTTAACTCCTTGTATCTTTGCACCAAAAAGTTTCTAGCTTCTTTAGTCATCCTTGGCCTGAAAGTCTTTGCATACTTGATGTAACGTGAGACTTGTTCAGCTGAAAATGGTGGATTAATAGCAGCATCTCTGAGCATGTGTAAGTCAACAATGTGGCTTGCTAGTTGTGTGTCGATCTTTTCATTGCAATCATCCAAGATAACGAAAAATAAATCAAATCTTGACATAATCGGTGCCGTCATGTTTAAGTTGGACCTCAATCCAAGTTTCCTATTGTATCTACCACCTATTGGATTAGCAGCTGCTAAAATTGACGTTCTAGCATTCAAAGTTGCATGGATACCAGCCTTAGCAATAGATATAGTTTGTTGTTCCATAGCTTCGTGAATGGCAACCTGATCGCTGATATCCATCTTGTCAAATTCATCGATAGCACAAATCCCATTATCAGCCAACATTAATGCACCAGCTTCGATAGTAAACTCACCACTTTCTTCATCCTTAACAACAGCTGCAGTTAAACCAGCAGCAGAAGATGCCTTACCGGAAGTATACACCGCTCTGGGACTAAATCCACAGACATACTTCAAGAATTGTGATTTGGAAGTGGATGGATCACCGACAATACAAATGTTGATATCACCTCTCAAGTTGATCCCATCGATGGTTTCCTTGTGAACACCACCAAGCAATTGCAATAAGATACCCTTTTTGACAACTTCGTGTCCAAACACTGCAGGAGCAATGGACTTAACTAATTTGTCATAGACATGGTCGTCCTTTACCATTTCTTTCAACTGGGAAACTTCTCCATCAGTCAATGAAGTTAAAAACACTTCTTGCTCATTGGCACCTTGGTATTCAACAGCGGCAGAGCTACTGCTGTCAACCTCGCTGCCAGATTTATCTCTGGTACTATTTATCAAGGAAGACACATGACACGCCAAGAATGCAATCTTGTAAGTCAAATCTCTGACCCCCAAGCTCTTCAATCCACTGACACCCGAGTTTAATTCGGACAGGAAACCTCCATTGCTTTCCTTTATCGATTGTGCCTTGATTCCAGGTAATCCCAATTGAGAGATATCTGGGATCACGATCTCAGTACCAGTGAATTTACATTTATCACCGGGCTTAGCTCTCTCTACGGTTTCCCCTCTAAGAATAACATCAAGGGTTCTAGGCATAGATCCTGTAGGAATCTCATTAGAATTTTCCTGGATTCTGACTCTCTGCCAATCAATAAACTGGGACTTGGAGACATTCAAGGTCCAGTAAGACTGGTTTTCACAAGATGGACAGGCAGTTGGCTCTGTATACTTGAATATTTGTTCAATGCCTTCCACGATAGCAGAACACATGTCACAAGTAAATGAGGCCTTATACAACTCAGGGCGGACCTCGGACGTTCTAGTGACGGTACCCAGAATAGAGATAAGTGATCCGATCTTGTCGGTACGGATGTCTCTAATTCTGTGGGTAGTAGGTAAGTTGAAAAACGATATCTGAAATGTTCTTTCGTCTGCATGGGAAGTCGACGATGAAGTGGTGCTTCCGCTCCCCGATGCCGTTGCAGTGCCTCCTGCTGTTGCCCTGGTGCTGGATGCAGCGTCATCGTTGCTCCCGCCATCACTGTTTCCTGGGTTATTAAGTAAGCTGGTGTAGAGTAAAGTAGGGGCGTACTTCCTCAATAACCTTCTTAACCCCCTCAACAAGAACGGGGAGAATCTGTAGTACTGCTCCAAGATGGCGCTGGCTAACACACCGTTCTCTCTGCTGATCAAATGTTGGTAATTGACATATAAAGTGCTCAATTCGTAGCTCTTCATAACTTGGAACTGAGCCAAGTAGATTTTCCCGTTGAATTCGTTATCCAAGAGCTCTTCGTCAACGTATTCCTCCAAGAACTGTTCGAAGGATTCTTGAACCTTTTCACCAGTCAAATCGACAACCTTAGGAACGGCAATATTTCTTCTTCTGTTGATTGGGTTGTTTCCGTTATTGAAATTGTTGTTGTCATCTCTTTGTGGACGTGGAGTTTGGCTGTTGTTGGTCTCTGAAAAGAGCACATTGTGCTGAGGTGTGAAGGCACCAGACCTACCGATGGACGATGGAGGCTGGGACGAGTGGAGTAAGTTCACCGCATCCGAAGGAATTCTTCCCGGGGATGAAACGAGGTTCGACATCTGGTAATTGAACTTGAAAAAGTGGGATTCTAATGATCTTGATAAGAAAAGGAATATATAAACAGTCGCTACTATAATTTGGAGACGTCTGACCGCTTTCGATCTTAAATGAGACGCGTATCTTTTTTTTTTTCCACTGATAAATTTTCCCAATTGGGCGAAATTGCGTTGGTCGAGAGTGATGAGATGCATGCAGGCAGTAGTATGTGTAGGACATAGACGGTGTAGATGGTGTAGATGGTGAAGGGGACAGGTTAGACGGAGTTCAGTTGCAGAGGGCGCTAGAGACGAGTAATAATGCTTAGATTATCGAGGCAGGCTTATAGACTTTATTCGTCTACTCCACAATGTAGGTACGGAATTGGAAGTGTTGCAGGATAGGCATAGTAATGCGAGAAGTGAGCTGCATGGTCCAACAGGACGTTGGCCCAGGTGAATACTATTTCTAAAAGAACTCTATGGCTGATACTAACATAGTTTAGACCCACCTAATTTACTCAACCTTAAGGTTGGTAAGATTATAGAATGTGTCAGGCATGAAAATGCAGACTCTCTTTATGTTTCTCGTGTACAGATCAACCAGGATGGAGATTTGTTACAGATTTGCTCTGGTCTTGTGAATTACATGAGACAAGACCAACTTCTCAATCTGGAAGTCATAGTTCTTACAAACTTGAAACCTTCCAAAATGAGAGGTGTGCGATCTGAGGCTATGCTTTTAGCAGCAGAGAAGAAGTCTATGGCTGATCAAGAGCAAATCCAGGTCAAGTTGGTTAAGCCGCCTACTGGCTCTAGTATCGGAGATAGACTATATTTCCAAGGGTTTAAATCTGATGACAGCCCTTCAAAGTTGAAATCAAATGCATGGCAAGAAATTCAGAAATGCTTGAAAACGAACTCAAAAGGTGAAGCGTTCTATGAATTTGAAGATGCTGAACCGTGCTATTTGCAAAATGAGCAGGAAAGTAATGCCACGGCAGAATTAGAAGATGCAATAATTCGGTAGCTCAATTAGAAAATATGATGGATCACCTTTTCTGGCCCCGGCCCTCCCCATATAGATGTAAATAGAAATCTCAAGTATAGTTTTAAAACTAATATAATTGCTGTACCTAACCTAAGCATAGCAAAGTGCTACTTTAAACGTAATTGTTTCATGGCCCAAGCATCAAGATAAACCGTGGTAGTACATATTGATCATGTATCAATAGGATGCATCGACTGTGACCATACTATATCAGACAGTTATAAGAGACGATGAATCTACTGACAATTTACCTATAGAAGACGCAAGAGAATTAAGAATAGAAGCAGCCGCATGCAACCTCATGTAAAGGACTTTATGTGTATACAAAGTGGGGTTATCTTAAAGAGTAACATCCATAAATAATAAATAGTGGTTCACTATTTATCACCTTGAAGTAAACTAGCTCTAATTATAATCTAGTTGTTTTGAGATTATAAAAAGAGTCTATTATAAGAGTATTAGTGGGAATTAATCAGCACATTTTTCGAAGTTTAAGTGATCACTTCGAAGTGCTGTAATCACAAAAGAATTAGCCAAAGTTATGCTAGTAGAGATCAAATTCACAATTCTAAAAAGTGAACTTGATTTTCCAAACACATATCTTGGTGGCTTGAGAGTAGAAGAGCCGTCGTCTTTCTCCCTGTTTACTACGATATTTACTTTGTTTCATCCAACATTTCCCTTTCTCTATTAACTTTGATCACGAAAAGAAACACTTCCAGTTGCCTCAATCCTTGTCAAACTTAAACTTTTTTTACTCATATTCTATTATTATAAAGGTTAAGAAATAATATATATACATTATCCATTAATGGATATACTTCTTACCAAGACGATGGACCGAAAGATTGACCATCTTCAAGAGTGTGGTAGTAAGCAACACCTGCACCTTCAAGGGTACTACTGATAACATCGTTACCCCACCACTTTGGAGTCTTCATGTAGTGGGTACTACTTGTGTTCATAGCCAAGAAAATGATCAATGAAGACCAAGCTAAACCAATATCAAGACCTGCGGATAAGGAATAGTTGTACTTAGTCCACCAATGGAAGAATTTCCTCTTAATAACGTAACCGAACATTAAACCAGTTAAACAATAAGCACCATAGTTGTATGGGGTAGCTGGAGGAATGTAAGCAGTACCCGAGAAAAAGACAGGCCAGTTCAACCATCTAACTGGAGAGTTTGGCCATTTTTTCAAGATTAACCAATTTGCAATTGGGCAAACGGCTCCAATAATGAAGAAGAATAATAATCCGTAATATATTTGACCATGGGAGAAGATTCTACCTGGACCAATGACACCCCAAATAATCGAGGCAGTGAAGAAAACCTTACCGTTTGGACAAGTAAAGTTGTTTGGTTGATCAGCATCACACAAGCCTTCAATGTTACCGTAGGACCATCTCAAAACGGCAATTTGAACAATACAACCCCAAATAGTGGCAATCATTTGGGCAGAGAATAAAACTCTTGGTTTTAATTTCATATAGTGACCTAATTTCATGTCTTGAACGAAGTAGATAGCCTGGGAGTTGGTAATGTAACCAAATGTCTTGAACAACATCATAGCCATACCCTTTCCTGGAATCATGTAACCGACAATGAATTCAGTAACAACGTTTAAACCAACTGCAATGTTGGTCAAAGCGAAGATCACACCGACTGGTAATAAGAAAACAATGGCAATTAAAAGGGCAACAATAAGACCCCAGACTGGGAATTCGGTGTCCCAGGCTTCGATAGTTGCAATAGCCATGGCAAAGAAGATCACAAAGACAATGATGTACCACCATTCTGGCACTGGCTTGTATCTTTCCATTAATCTGTTGTGCACATCTCTCTTCTCTTGTTGTTTCAATTGCTTTATGATATCTTTACCGTGGAAGAGACCAGTGTGAATTAAGGTAGCTAAGATGGAAGCAAAAGATAAACCGTACGAAATAGCGAAAGTGGTGGACAAGAATAACGGAGAGTATTCCTTGTATCCTTCTGGGTCAAAAGACAAAGTACCTGGTTTAACAATCTTAGTGACATTGTAACTTGCCTGGTATCTGTCGTAAGAGGTACTTGATGAGATTGGTAAGTATTTACCATACCAAGTGTTAGTATAGTATAATGCTGGGGTAATAATCCAGTAAATAGTGACCATGGCAAACAAAATAGATGCGATAGTAGATGCAGGTGGAATCAATGGAGAACCAATGTAACCAGCAATTTGATTCCAATCGAATGTTAATGGGATTATACCAAGACCTTGAGAAGCACCGAATACTTGGTTAACGACAATGTTATTTGGTGCAATCCATGTTGGCCAAGCGAAGTACGACAAAGCTTGGAAAATAAAACCTGGGAACCAATACCAAACGAATGCAGATGAGAAGACCACAGAGAAAAACATCAATCTTGAGATTCTCCAGCCGTTAGCAGGGTGATTCTCATTAATATGCATATTGGTCAAGAAAGTAGTAGCAACCAAGTCCTGTGGCCAAATCATAGATGGTGAGTCAACAAGAACCTTCTTAGTGACACCAGCTAAACCAAAACCAATACATTGGGTACACAAGATTAACAAAATGTCAAAACCCCAACCGTAATCGACCTTGTAGTATCTGTTTTGGGCTAACAAGATATCAGTGGCATAAGCAGCACCACCAGCGAAGTTAACGTTGGCCATAATTGAGATCAAGGCGTGTTCCTTCAAGTTGAAAGGACCTGGATTTAATGGAGCACCAAAGATCAGGATATTTGGTAAACATGCGTGCCATGCCTTACCGATTGGCCAAGCCAAGATAGAAGTGACGTACATGGTAATGGAGAATGAAGGACTATGCAAAGAGAAGTAGGTATTCATACCACAACCAATCATAGTCAAAATCATACCGATGGTCCACATTCTAATTGTGTTTTGAGGGAGTTCCCAGTCATCGGTAGATGGCACAGAAGCTCTAACTTCTGGGTATGGGGAATCGTCTTCAACGTGAATAGCAGTATACTCATCTTCCAAGATTTCCTTTTCAAGACGAGAAGTGACAGGGTCGAATTCTTGCGATTTGGCGATAGATAAAATTGGGTTAACAACAAGGTTGTCCCCTTCATCAGTGGAAACCCTTTTGGTTTCAGAAAAGTCGTCCTTTTCCTTTTGGCCTATAAAGCTCTTGATCTTTTCCATGGTGGTGGGATGAACTTACTGAGGCAACACAAATAAAAAATCAGGAAACTACAAAACGAAACTCCCTGCTCTACACATCCCCCTGGTGGATTATCTCCATATTTATATTCCCTTGTCCCTCTTAGTCATACAAAAGAGTGGGGGTATTTCAGCTGGCAACTCACCTGCTTGCAGCTGCTTCTTGTTATCGGTGACACAAACTTGTTCGCGATGGAAGCCATGCAAAATATGCCGTAAAAAATAAAAAGAAAGCACCAGGAGAGCGTTCCAAGCACCAAGCGGGAAGCGCAAGGGAAAGCTAAAAAAAGGAAAAGCTAGAAAATAATTTTCAACTTGGGGAAGAACACCGTTAGGTTCATTGTAGAGAGCGAGAGGGAGTTATGCAAGGTGGGCAGAGGTATGGATTAAAGAAAGAAAAAGGTAAGCAAGAGTTTAGTAAGCGGTACACGGTGCCAGGGGTTATCTCCAAGAACCTGAGTGATGATCTTGTGCAATAGTATGCACAGGCTGTTGTTCATGGGTATTTTAGTTGGTTGACTGACTTTCCTGTTCCAGAAGAAAGCCACTCGCTCGGCTTCAGGCTCAACTGGGGCAGCACCACTCCCCCCCAGTTAGTCAGGCAATCAGTCACAATTTTTTTGCTGCTGTCCCGCGCAAGCATGCGGCCTCAAATGCTCCACCTGTACGAAGAAATGAAACTTCTCTCTAAGCGATTTAGTCTATTTTTGCGCCGTACCATTCAGCTTCGCTCACCGACAGGGACCTTAAGGTTGAAAAAAATATTGGGTTCATGTTCCAGAAAGGGAAGCTGGTGCAGAGGGGTACTAGGTATAGCTTCTGGTGTAATCGTGGTGCAACATGGGGTTCTTTCATTCAGCGTACTGTGTGTGAGTGAAATTTGCTAACAGAGCGAAACGTGGGAAAAAAAAAATATTGTTCACTCAAACCGTATTGTTGCATAATCTTTTGAGCCTAAAATTGGGTGACTTACATTATAGTACTCTTGGGCTCATGGGCCCTGCAATACTGAAGCGGTGATAGCTTAAGGGCGAGTGACAACCGCCATACAAAAGTGCTTCTCTCACTGGCTGTTTCTCCGGTCGATAAAGTGAGCCATCCTACACCCACTCGAGCTGACGGCCAGGACCGGCGGCTTAAAAAAGAAACCAATAAAGTGAAAGAAAAAAAGCGAAAAAAAAAAAAAAAAAAGAAGAAAAAAGAAAAGAAAGGAAAACTGGAAAATGTAAACAGAAATCTATTCATGAAACAGAGAGAACAATTTACTTCCGAAGTTTCAGATGGAGATAACAGACAGTTATTCTGAGGCCTCCGATAAACGATAAGAGTTTTATATAGGCACTGGTTTGTGTCAACGCTGTTACCTTCTCTATCGTATGTCTTACGTCAACCTGTCAGATCAGCTGTAGTACCCTTGCATGATTGCATAAGCGCTAGTAAATTTCCTTAGATGATGGGCTATTTATTTTCTCGGCTCTGAAGATTTCGATTCTTCAAGCAATGAGTTTTTCTTGGTGACATATTTTCGTCCTTTCTAGTTTTAAGCCCCAGTACTTGAAATATGCGTGAAGATTTGCCCTCGATTATTCTGGGATGCAACCTATTAGATGGAGCAAATGAGCAAATGAACAACTTAGAGTCGCCTTCGATAAGCTACTAAATGATACCTTCCTAGTTGGCACTGCTGATAGCGATTTCTTTTTTCTGTCTGTCTCGGAAGAGGGCCGGCTCCGCATTTTCTTTTATCTTATCGGCACCTGGAATTCGTGCACGTGACGTGAATAATTTTTTTCATAATTTTGAGACGTGCTCTCTGTTCATCTGAATCTTCTCACCTGATATGTGTCACCTGATCTCATCTCAGACATGAAAACTTCGACTATTCCAGTGGAAGCTCTAATATAGGTGGACTTACTCCAGTTGCTCGTAGAGTAGGATATATCAGCACAATGAGACAAAAGAGAGCCAAATCATACAAGAAGCAAATCAATGTGTATGTCCATACCTTTAAATTTAGGGAACCCTTTCAGACGCTTGTAGATTCCGAACTTATATTGACATGTCAAAAGGCATCGTTTGATATTCTCAAAGGTTTGAATAGAACAATTCAATCCGAATGTAAGCCTATGATAACACAATGTTGCATGCAAGCATTGTACGAGACTGGGAACCAAGATGCCATTTCTATAGCGAAAAGATTCGAAAGAAGAAGGTGCAACCACCAGCCTACCAAGCCTGAGATGCCCTCAAATTGTATAGAGTCGATTGTAAATGTAGAAGGTGAGAACAAGCATAGATACATAATTGCCTCGCAGGACCAAGAGTTAAGGAAGAAGCTTAGAAGAGTCCCTGGTGTTCCAATAATTTTCATGAATAGATCAGTAATGGTTATGGAACCGCTTTCGAGGGCTAGTGCTGAATTTTCAGAAAGATTCGAAGCCAGCAAGTTGACCCAGGGTTTGAACAACTCCAAGGCATACAAAGTAGATACGGTAAAGGAAGAAAGAGTGAAGGATGGAGGGGACGCAAGCACTGGTCCTAAACCTGAAATATCCAAGAAAAGAAAGGGTCCAAAGGCACCCAATCCTCTCAGTATGAAGAAGAAAAGCACAAATGAAGGCGAGAAGAGGGAGATCACAGCTGGTACCGGTACTACCAAGAGAAGAAGAAAGCATTAGAGGAGTTGTAGGTACTTGACAAAAGAAAAAAAAAGTTTTTCAAAATTAAATATCTAGTTCGTCTTCAACCCTAATACTCCTTCGGCTAGATATCAAGCATAAATAGGATACATATACATAGTACAAACCAAAACATCTCAGTAGATAACTATGTACCACTTCCCTTGAAGCGTACGAACAACTCTCTAGCCACTGGCAAAGCATGACGGAACCTACTACCTGCAGTAGCTTATGTAAGCTGGAATTTTTCAACATGACGATGCTCGAAAATTCTTTTTTTTTTTTTTTTTACTCCGGCAATATTTTTTTTTGAAGGCCTTCCTTTAACGTTGATCAGTTGGGTTCTTTTACGAAGTGTATACTGATTGATCTTTCGATACTTACCGAAATAGAATGCAAAGAACCTTGATTTCATCCTTAGCAAGATCCGCTAGATTGGCTAGATCTACCGCTCCTGTTGGTGCTAGAGTCGCCCTCAGACCGATGGCGGCAACTTTCCCAAGCTCCAGATTTGTTCGTTTCGCATCGACCGAAGCCAAACCAGAAGAACAGAAGAAGGAAGCTACACTGGAACAAGCTAGTGAAACTACTGAAGAAACCAAGGCTGAAACTGAAGCTGAAGCCGAGACCCCAGAACAACTGGCTATTGCTGAATTAGAAGCTAAATTGGCCCAAAAGGACAAGGACTTGGCTGACATGAAGAACCATTACGCAAGAGCAATTGCTGACTTCAGAAACTTGCAAGAATCCACCAAGAAGGAAGTCCAAAAGGCCAAAGATTTTGCACTCCAAAAATTTGCCAAGGACTTGTTAGAATCTGTCGATAACTTCACATTAGCATTAAGTGCTGTTAAGGAAGAAACTTTGAGCTCCAACGCCGAAGTTAAGAACTTGTATGATGGTGTCGACATGACTAGACAAGTGTTTGAGAAAACTTTAAATAGACACGGTATTGAAAAGATAGACCCAATGGGAGAACCATTCAACCCAAACCACCACGAAGCTACTTTCGAAATTCCTCAACCAGATAAGGAACCAGGTACTGTATTCCACGTTCAACAGCCTGGATTCACATTAAACTCTAGAGTCTTAAGACCAGCCAAGGTTGGTTTAGTTAAGGATGTTGAAAACTAAGGCATGACGAAACTAAAATCTTGTAAATATTTTGATGAAAATAACAGAAACTAAACAAGTACTTGTATTAGATTGATAAAACTGTATATTATTAACTAAAAGCGAATATATAATAGTACATAAATAAACACAATTAAACAAGGTAGTGAAAATATATTTGTTGGAGGAGATGAAAGAATGAACTGAAACATGAGACGTAAAAGGGCGGAAGTACATTAAGTTATAACGCAGTCATTGGAAGAACTTCCTTCTAACCAATGCCACAAATAAAAATGGATTTGTCGTATCTTCATGATGTCTTTCTAACCAATTCTCACGCTTCTACGCTTGAAGAAATCCATAACCTTTCTGGCTGCACTTGCCTCTTTGCCTCCGTTTGAATTCGTGGATGGACTATTGACGGACTTCCTGGATGCAGTAGAGCGTGAAGATCCAGAAGATCCAATTCTCTTCTTATCCTTGGAGTTAGCCGCAATATTGGCATCAGAAGATGGTTCTAATATCTTCTTTGTTGAGGGAGACTTTACAACAGGAGCAGCTACCTTTGTTGACTGTTGATGAACCTGTGGTGTCTCGGTCGAATGTGAAGCTATGTTGTTCAGCGAAGAATTGTAAGTACTGTAAAAGGAAAGAATGCTAAACCTATTACGCTTCTTATTCTCTTTATCTTCTTTGTTTTCCCTTGCAAGAGTCGATGTAGAATTGCTACTAGGAATACTTGAAACTCTTTGCTTTCTCTCGCGGGGTTGATGATTTTCAATTATTTCCTTTTCCTTTTCCTTTTCCTTCTCTCTCTCTCTTTCTCTTTCCTTGGCCTTTTCTTTCTTAAAATCTTCCAAGACCTTTGGAATCAATGATTCTACATTCTGTGAAAGTGGTCTTTGCTTTGGCTTTGGTACGCTCGCAGCCTCATCTACAGTAGCCTGTTTATCTTGAGGAGTGAACTGTTCTTTGCTAGGACTATGCAGATCAGTCAATTCCAATGCATCGATTTTATCTTCCAAGTAGTTCAAAACTGAATTCTTGTTGCTTTCGTTTTCGCTCGTTAAAACGCCATTAACGTTAATAGGAGTGACTGCCGAATTTCTTCTTGCATTCAATTTAACACCCGTGGAAGTAGGGCTACTATTGTTATTGTTATTATTGCTGTTGTTACCTTCAGGTACCGGGGATGTATCAGAGTCTGCTATTGGAGAAGACTTCGTTGGGGAACTCGACAAAAATTGAGGGATTTGAAGATTCAATGGGCTCATGTAGTCTAAGATTCCACTGACAACACTTTCAGCATTTGAGTTGGAAATTAATGTAGATGACATCGATGAAGGGTGGTAAGATGTTGGTCTAGGTTTCTTCTCTGAGTGGGGAAGTCTAGTAGAATTATAACCAGCTCTTGAAGGCAAAAGGGATATAAAAGCGGAACCTTCGGGGATAGAAGTCTTAGCCTGTTGCTGTTGTTGTTGTCTTGCTGCCAATGCTGCTGCGGATAATGCTGCTGCTGCCGATGCGCTTGTGTTGTTCTTATCCATTGGATTTCTCAAGTACGTCTTCGTAGGACTTTCTACAATTGTCGAAATAGCACCATTATATGTAGAAGAGCGTGAAAGACTATTGCTGATGTTAGTTGAAGAGCCATTAACTGCTCCTCCGCCCCCGATGGAGCTGGTGAGCGATGTAATTGATGAAATAGAGTTTCTCTTGAAGTTGTTGCTGTCCGATACAACAGCCTTAAGGGCTGTACTGGCAGCAGATTGATGGAAGATGAGATTTTGAGGTTGTTGATGATTTGATGATGACATAGATGCGGATTTGGCGTGGCCACGAGTGAATTGTTTAGTGGGCGATGGTGTGGCAGAGGAATTGTCAGAATCACCACCGTTTCCAGAAGTAGATCCAGCGTTTGTATTGTTGTTAAAGTTATAGTTGATAGTGATTGTTGAGGATGACTTTGAGGATGGTAAGGCAATGGCATTGGCCAATGAAGACAGTGTGGTGGCGGATGAGGGGTTAATTCCACCGTTGCTACTTGATCTACCATGCTTTGGCATCAATGCACTGCTACTAGTTCTCTCGTTGAGCATAGAAAACCTCTTGTTGGCATTCTGTTGAACGGTATTTGGTGGTTGTCTGTTTTCCTTGTAAATTCTGTCCCACTCTGGCTGTCTGATGGACAACAAGTTGACGTGGGGCGTGAGCCATGGGTGGTTTCTGATGTCATTCATGTTGATTCTTTTCTTGGGGTCAGGAACAATGATTTTTCTGAGCAAATCCCTTGCTAAGGGACTAACGTACTCTGGGAACGTCAACGGAGTCTTACAGATGTAGTGATACAATCTTACAATATCAGCTCCATCCTCGTTCTCTGGGTCATCGTCAAAGGGCAAGTACCCAGAGAGCATGGCATATAAAATGACTCCCAAGGACCAGATATCTACTTTCCTTCCTTCGTAAGGGGACTGAGTCAAAACCAACTCAGGTGCCGCGTAACAGGGCGAGCCACAGCTGGTCTTCATGAGGTCATTCTTGTCTCTGTTATAGGAGTTGACAAAACCAAAGTCACTGATAATCACATTTTTGTGCTTGTCGAGTAACAAGTTCTCCAACTTCAAATCTCTGTGGATAAGGCCCTTGGAATGCATGTAGTCGACTCCGCTCACTAATTGGGCGAAGAGCTTTTTGGCTACGTTCTCCTTGAGGTACTTGTGATGCAAAATGTAGTCGAACAATTCACCACCGGAGGCGTATTCCAACACAATTCCGATGTATTTTCCCAGCTTCATCACCTCCACGAGGTTGACGATGTTTGGGTGGTTCAACAACTTTAATGAGTTGATTTCTCTATGTACTTTAATCTCGCTGTCAGAGTCCTTCAAGATAGAGTCACGCTTGATGAGCTTGATAGCCACCTGGGAGGGCTGTTTCCCGTCCTTTCTCCACCCAAGTTTGACCTTCCCGAACTCTCCCTCACCGAGGGTGGAGCCCAAGATATAGTTGCCGAATCTGACTTCTCTGTGGATGCGTTTGGCAATGGACGACGAGCCGACTCCGTTGGACACGGGTGGCTGCACCTGTCCAGGTATTGCCATCATGACGTTGGGGGCCGGCATTGAAGCTCTAGCCTCGTCTACGTAAGTTGCTGACATGCTGATGCGAAATGATGAAGTATGGCCTTGGTCGGTGTACTTCTGGGGTCGTTACTAATTTTTCTATTTTATTTCCTATAAGGTTGTGCTGTCGTTAGTTCTATTTTTGGGCAAGTGGCGGTCGTTCAGGATGTGCTGATGGTCTCAATTTCGAGTTTTTTCAACTTCTCCGACTCCCTTGCTAAGAGACTTGACTGCTAGTGCTGTTTACTTAACGATAGAAGTGTTTCCCACTATCTTTCCATACACTAGATGGCACTATGTTCCTGTTTCAGCTAATAGCGATTTGTTTTCTTTTTTTACTTATTTTGATTTTCTTCGTATTCTCAAAAGCAGAGAAAAAAAAATAAAAAAAATAAAAAATAAAAATAAAAATTAAAAAAAAAAAATAAAAAATAAAAGTAATCAATGGGAGTAAAAATATCTTCTGTAGTCAACTGGGGTGATGGGTGGCAGGTGGAGTCGCCTATATGAGTGTAGGAGGTGAGCGGTGAGTGGTGTAGATGTGGTACTTGCAAGGATTCAAGGATTGCAAAAAGGGACTGGAGTGCGCTGCGGTCTGTTTTATGTTATATTTTTAGGTGTTACACTATGTGTCACACTCAACGTCTCAGTAATACCGATGCAAAGTTAAAATCGAATTTGTTCCTAATGTGATTTTGTTATATAGGAGACCACTAGGACCAAATACCTTCTTGTTACAATGTGGTCTAACGGGATACTCTACTTTTGTTAGAGTTGTTTACAAAATATGCTGCAATTTCAATGGCCAGCGTGCCTTCACCATGTGGTTATTCCTTAGTTGTAGTGAAGGGAATGCTAATGATTATACCTAAACGTAGCCATTTTATAAACATTGGAGACGCGGGAACAGTGGCAGATGTTCAAAAGGGGTAATTTTAACTGCACAATACAATCGACGCTGGTGCGGCGCATTTCCTTATTTTCTGCCTATACCAGGCACGGTTACGCAGTGAAGTGCGGCGGATTGAGAAGACAACAGTATACCCTTTGACGATTGGGGGTGGGATCTGGTGATAGACAAGGTTGAGCCAAAGAAAGAGAGAGAGAGAGATAGAGAGAATACGAGCGAGCTTAGGATGTGCTACGATTCTGCAAAAAGCTTAAATGACTGAATTCGGAACGGTGCTGTTTGCATCCTTTCTCGGGATTTTTTTTTCTGTTCCTTCGCCGCTTCGTGCTGCATTTCCGTGGACAGGATGCTGCTCAGCAGTTCTTCAGCATTTTATTTGTTCCACCACGGGCGCACAATTCTTGTCATCCTTTTCTTATTTCTTTTTTATAATTGGGCATGGTTCCCAGGTACAGCTAAGAAGGATGAAGTAGCCGGTAAGTTAAAAGTGGAAAGGATGATTCAAAGGAGAAAATAACCCGCTGTGATAAAAACAGAACAAAGAAGGATGTGGGCTGTTTCAGACAATACGTTCAGTGTCCATAGTAAACCCGTCCTGCTTATCCTTTTCTTCTCAACGCATTAACACCCAATTGTCGCGGGCATAATGCACTTCTTCTTAATAAAACCCCATATGGCACAGAGATGATCCACAAATGACCATAATGTCGTATTCCTTTCTCCGAAATGACACGGACTGTAACAATAATTGGGGATTTTTTCTTGAGGATTTGTGTGCTCTTTCGTAGTACTCATGGGTGCAAATGTGTTTCTTCAACACACTTTTTTTTGGTCAAGGTTAAAAATAATAGACTACTGAGTAACTAAACTTTATTTGCAGATCCTTCCACTTGATCACATCTCAAACGGAAGACGGGGCCATGATAGTTAAGTTAGAAAATCCACTCTACTTTGCTCAATGCGCCCTTGTATTTCTTCAGTTAGTCTCTTATCTATCGACAGGACAACTTATTAATATCGTATCATTGTAACTGCACCTCATCGCATATCATCACAGCTCACGGTTATTCATTCTCAACTTATTGTAACGTATCTGAGAAGGTTGCAATTTTCTCCACTTTTTGGAATTATTATTTTAGAAAGCTTAAACCCCAAACAACAATCCCCCCTTGTTGTGTTTCATTGTCGGGATTATGTATGGTAGGCAATTGCAGTCGTGACAGGGAAGAAAAACGTATCGTATATAGATAATAGAAGGGTGACTCGCGTCATCTGGTATCCATGTGTGTATGTGTGTATACGTGTATGTCCAAAACTGTTCCTAAACTATGCCTGACTTGCGTGCCCAGCTTATCTACTCTGCTCTGTGTGTTCTTATCGGGGTTGTAGCCCACGCACGCTTTCTCTCATAGACACCCACCCACACCAATCTTCCGTGCTCAGTCTCTCCGCACTATTTTTCTTAGTGCCCACCTTCTTCGAATTTTACCCAATTGGCCACTACCTCAAAGTACTTTCAAGATAACGATGACCTACTTGATTTCAGTGAGACGCATTGAACCGATATAGAATTTGGAACCTAATTTCGTCTTCTCTATTTAACTTCGTTAGGAGAGGGGGTCGTCATCTAGCAGGGCCTGCCTGCGTGCAGGTGTGCACCCTCACAGCGTTCCAGGATGCACCCACAGCGTGCGACTTCATGCTGATCTCGGTTGTTTACATTTTGATTTTGTGTCACGGCTTTTATTCGCCTTCACGTCTTCGCTTTATTTTGATTGAAGAAGTCACCGCGTACCTACAACATGGCTTCTGGTGCTTTAGCTCAAACCTTCTATATATCATTCATGACACAGACAGACGTAGCACCTGTCGTTGAGGACGATGACGATTACCAGCTCAGCGGTCCTATGCCCATCGAAAAACTCGAGGGGAATGGGATAACGCCGGGGGACATCAAAAAGTTGAAGAGTGAAGGATATCACACGATTGAATCTATTGCCTACACGCCGAAAAGAGCACTCCTCACTATCAAGGGGATCTCCGATGGGAAGGCAGATAAGATTTCGATGGAAGCAGCTAGAATGGTGCCCATGGGGTTCACCACAGCTTCTGAGTTCCACACCAGAAGGTCTGAATTGATCTGTGTCACCACCGGATCTAAGCAGTTGGATACGTTGCTTGGAGGGGGTATCGAAACCGGGTCCATTACCGAGGTTTTTGGGGAGTTTAGAACCGGGAAGTCGCAGTTGTGTCACACTTTGGCAGTGACTTGTCAATTACCCATTGATATGGGAGGTGGAGAGGGTAAGTGCCTTTTCATTGACACGGAGGGAACTTTTAGACCGATTAGATTGGTTTCCATCGCTCAAAGGTACGGATTGAATCCGGATGACTGTTTGGACAACGTAGCGTATGCTAGAGCCTATAACGCAGAGCACCAGTTGCAGTTGTTGCACCAGGCGGCAGCAATGATGTCGGAATCCAGATTTTCGTTGCTTATTGTAGACTCAATCATGTCACTTTATAGGACCGATTACTCTGGTAGAGGTGAATTATCAGCTAGACAAACGCATGTTGCAAAGTATATGAGAATGTTGCAAAGATTGGCTGATGAGTTCGGAATTGCAGTTGTGATTACCAACCAAGTTGTTGCCCAAGTGGATGGAAGTGCATCGATGTTCAATCCAGATCCTAAGAAGCCAATTGGTGGTAACATCATTGCGCATTCTTCGACTACCAGATTGTCGTTTAAGAAGGGTAGAGGAGAACAGAGAATTTGTAAGATCTATGACAGTCCCTGCTTACCAGAAAGTGAGTGTGTGTTTGCAATTTATGAAGATGGGATCGGTGATCCAAAGGAAGATGAAGATTAGGTAAGGTGTGGAGAGAGAATCTGAGTGGCTTCCTTTGTTTGTTGCTTTTTGAATGTTTTGTCTACTGCTGGGTCAAATGCGCAGAATGTGCGTTTCTCTGTGGATACGAGGCAAAAGCACATGAATAGCAGATCAAAGAAAGGAAAGCAGGGGAAGGGAAGAAAAGGAGAGAAAGAAATGGAAATGGAAAGGAAGCAAGTGAAAAGGAGAGAAAGAAATGGAAATGGAAAAGAAAGAGAAAAGTGCATCCTCACATTGTGTGTGAACCTGTCATAGTTAGAGCAAGCGGGCCAAGCTGAGTGTTGACTTCGATTGCTTTCAACCTGGTGGCACTTGTGCGCACAGAATTGATTACTAGAGTTCATCTTATCTGAACAGACGTGATTTGAAATGTCTGCGAGAGCTCCTTTACAATCGGGCCCTAACATTATATATGTTAGGGTATCGAAAATATACTCAACGGTTGCAATTCTTCCTCTGCAGGACTTGAAAAAGGCGAAGAATCAGGCGTACGCACTGAAAAGGGAACGGCACCAAGATAGGTTACTTAGTTTACATGATTATCATTCTACTTTACTGAAATAAACAAGGGTTTGGCTAATTTGAGCGTTGATTGAATTCGTAGAAATATTAGAAACATAGCGTAGGGCCCGCTAATATCATCTCTTAAATGTAGAGTAGCTTCGGCTCTTTCAACCAGCCAGCATTAGCCTCGCAATACATCAGTGTCATCGCGGCAATTTTTCAAGTGTACACCGGGGCAGCATGCTTCCACATGAGAAAATTTTTCTTCGGAGTCACACACACACATTTTATCTTTTTGATCAAACAATTATCTATTCCATCTCCTGCAGAATTATGCCGGGTAACTGGATTATATGCAAGAAAGTGCGTGTTTAAGCGCAAAAATGTGGAAAAATATACTGGGGAGCCCAGCTTTGGTGCACATCAACGGTAGTAGCGAAAGAGTGACAAAAAATTTTCAGCTTAGGCTATTGAAGAAAGTTTTATACAGATACCGAATCATTTTTTCTGGCTATTTCAGATCTGATTGATTGAAGCGATTTTCTAGTCGAGTATTAAGAGAGCCTCGAGCTTTTGACTTTAACTTATCCAGTAAACCGAGTTTCGCCAAACCCAAGAACCTAAGGTAAAAAAGTATATATAAAAAAAAAAAAAAAAAAAAAAAAAGAAATTAGAATAAATTAATCAAAAAAAAAAAAAAAATAAAATTGAAAATAAAAAAAAAACA